TTGATTTTTTCTAAGAATTCATAGCAATTAAGACATGAAAGCTGGTCCATTTGACCTCAAAAGTCAAACTATGCCTTCTGTGTAAGGGAGTCTGTTCATTGTGTTCCTACTGAGCAACATATTAGCATGAATCGCTATTGGAATTTTGTTATGCTGTCATAGATTGGTTCCTCGACCTACAGACAAGTTATTGAACAAAGAACCGTATATGGTCGTCGCTATGTCATTCCTATGCTTGAGGGCATTCCTACATGTGTTCCCAAAACTCAAATCTTGATTTATATCTCTATGGTTGTCATATCGACCTCTTTTAATGACAAATCATATGTTCATACGCGTTCTTAAAAAAATACCCATAAAAGGGTCATTGCCTAGCAGTATTCGAGTTATGGATAAAACCCAATCTCCCTGGAAGTCAAGGGTTCAAGTCTCACCAAAGGTGAAGAATGTGTCAGTTTTGTCGTGTATAAATATTATATACTTAAAAATGTTCGTTTGTGAGTTCCTTTCTTTGGTCTCGGTCTCTTTGGGCAATGATAGAATGAAGGACTAGCATGTGTTGTCACCTTCCTCCAATTATTGTAATTGATAGTCGTATAAATTTTCGTACAAAATCATAATTTATACAATTTTCACCCATAGAAACAAATTTTTGTCCCCTCGGTTTATTTTCTGGTTCGACCATCATCTTTGGGGAGATCCCCTTTCTCGTCGTTTTCATGGTTGATTCAAGCTTTTGCATTCGAAGTCAATTGAGAACGTATACTTCACGTGTTTTTGTTAGCCTACATATGTTGATCACGATGACCATCTGGCCACAAGCCTACGGGTGTAGATTTAGGTTCACTCAGTTGTATAGCGTTTTGCCACAAGCCTACAAGTTAATAAAATGAATCGTTTGTGTTTTGTCTTTATTATACAACTGTGTAAATATCTTCACAAGTGTTCTGTCTTTTTTGGAGCTACAATTGTATTAACAAGTTGTAATGATTATCAAAATCACCATTAAACTTATCAAGTTTCTTTGTAGCATCTTCGATGGAGTGATAATAATATCTTTTTTGCAATTTTCTATCACGTCATTGCCAACTAAATACTAATAATTACCATGAGACTCTACAACGATCGTCACCTGTAAGAATATATTTTTTTGGTGGGGCTCGTTTATTTTTTGAACATTCAATAATTATTACATATGTCAAAAAAAAATATAAAAGAAATAATATGACACAAAAAAAGTTGAATTAAGATCCAAGGTTTATGTACAAGAACTGAAAATATTTTACTGATTTGTAAGAGTTTTTCAAAATCGTAATCACTTATAAGAACCTTTCATAGTAGATGTTTTTCTGCACCAAAAAAATATGAGTTAAAGACATAACCACCGTTGATGTTATCAATAAATTCACCACAATTCTCATATTTATACCATTTTATAAAGCATCCAGGTAGATGACTCGATTGTAAAAACAGATCAAATAGGTCAAAAATGCTCAATATATATTTAATTGTATAAAACCTTGTAAGTCGATTTATTATTTTAAAAAAAAACTAGATTATAATTATAATAACTTTGTTTTTCTAATGAAATTTGACATATAAATTATTAATAAATTAAAAAAGAATGAATAAAAAAGCGTTTTCGAATCAAACTTATTTGTTTTGACTGTCATTTGATCCGTTCATTTTATATGTCTTACTTTTTTAATAATAAAAGTACTGTTTAAGCGTTAATAACAAGTCAATAACTTTAGTTGAGTTGAATTTATCAAACCCTAAAGCAAGATTCTTTTTTATTAACCTGAATATCTAACCCGTTATGCAAGCTGACTAATCTTAAAATGATCACGTGTTTTGCAGATAGTCTGAAGTCACCGCATTTGAACCTTCGTAGCCATAGAGGAATTTTTATTCCTCCTTAGATTTAAACCTATGATCTTCTGAGATTTAAAGCCAAGTTCAAACCAATCAATTATCCACCCTGGTGGTTAAAGCAAGATTCTTGTTTACAACAGGGTTCAAAGGATGATCGTGTGCCTCATAATTATGAAATAGTCAACTCATAAAAAGTCAACTTCGACCACAATTAATATAAAATTAGTTTAAAATAAAGATAAATAAGTTGATGACCAAACAATCCTCTAGAAGCCATAACCATTTTCCTTTTACCACCCTTCTCCTTTGACCACTTTGCATTGCTTCATTACTTAAATATTTTCTATAAAGAACATGTCTTTCGTACTTTATTGAATGTGTGTGTGTATATATATATATATATATATATATATATATATATATATATGACACAAGAAGCTCTAATTGTATCTCTCATTAATTAGTTATCTTTGCCATTGACTCCATCAATTCTCTCAAAACCCATTTCTGCAAAGGAAGATCAAAAAGAAAGAAAAGCATCGTAAAAGATGTGTCCGATGAGGGTGTTCTTGGTGTTTTTCTCGGCGATGTTGGCTGCTTACATCACGTGGAGGTCCGTTCAGACTTCATCGGAAATCGAAGACACGGACGATCTCTCTACTAGTAAACAAGAATCCAGCATGATCAAGGTAATGATTCGTGTTGACAGATTAATCCATGTGCGGTTATATTCTTGATTTCTAAGTTTTAGTCTCGTCATGCTCCATCAGAATGACCAATTTGTCGATTATTTCTTTTATTGATGATGTATATGTTTATTTTTTTGGGATTTTCAGATGGTTCAAAATGCGGTATTCGTATTTATTGACATGGCGAGTGGAAAGTATTTATGGAGGAACCTCAGACAAATGAGCGAAGATGGAAAAACGAAGAGTTATTAGAATTGATGCATTATTTACCTCCATTTTTTTTTCTCTCATATTTCATGTACAAAATTGATACCAAACTCATAACCATCTTGTTATGGTCCGTTATCAATGTTTTCATCCGTTGTTAACTCAATATATGTATGATTCATTTGTTCTTCACGTTCGACCAATGTTTTTTACTATATCTTGGAGTCGATTGCTTCTTTTTTATAATCTTTTATAGACCTTCCAGCATCTCCAACTTCGGAATCAAGAGACCCCAATCAACCAAAATTGACTCTATCGTCATTCAACATACTATAACAAAATTGGGTTTATAGGACGCCACCAATAAATAAGTGTTCTAATAGACCACTTTATAAAACATAATTTATAGAAACAAAAAATAAAACGTCTTACCTAAAAGTGTTGTAATAAGTTTATCAGGACGTTTTTAAACGTCGTAACAAGTTTGTTAGGACATTTTTATCAAAAAAAAAAGTCAAATTAGCTATTTTATAGGACACTATTTCAAAAAGTGTCCTACAAATACAAGTCTCTTATAAAAAGATGGGTTTATAGGACACTTTCTCAAAAGTGTCTTGTGTAAAATAGCTAATATGACATTTTTTTATTGAAAGTGTCCTGACAAACTTGTTGCGACGCCCAAAAATATCATATAAACTTATTACAACATCTTTAGATATGACGCCTTATTTTTTGGTTCTATAAAGTATGTCTTATAAGGTGGTCTATTAAGAAGCTTATTTATTGATGGCGTCTTATAGACTCAATTTTTTTTAATGGCATATACATCCATACTCATTGAAAAACACAAGCCTATTGATGAATATAGTAATTAAAGATAGTAGAATACTGATGATAGAAACCCATTTTAACGAAATTTGTATTAGAAGCTATCTTGATTCATGATCATTTATTCGTCATCTCCATTTAGCGGATATAGAACTCAATCAAACATGCATAAAATATATATATTCAATAAAAATCTTATCTAGCATTCAGATATATGATCTATATTTAAGAGACTGTTTACCAAATGTTTATCAGGTAAGAGGCTGTTTGTTTGGCTCTTAATGGTGACATTAAGAGCCAACCTCTTAATCGCTAAGAGTAAGAGGTGAGGAGTGTTTGGCAAAAAAAATGGCTCTGAATGATTACATTTTCCCTCTTAACCATTTTGCATCTAAGGGGTCTCTCAACCATTCAGACTTCTCTTTTTTCCATATTTGCCCTCTCTCCCATCATCCTCACACATCGCTCACAGCCCCTCCTCCAGACCTACGATCGCTGCCGCCTCGTCGCCGCCTCCTCCTCGTCCCCGCCTCACGTCGCCGTCTCTGGTCGCCTTCCACAACCTCCTTACTGTTGCTTCCTCTCCTGTCTAGGGTTTGCATCTCGTCGCCGCCGCTCGTCGCCGCCTCTCGTCGCCGCGTCTCGTCGCCGCCTCTCGTCGCCGCCTCATGTCGCCGTCTCCGGTCGCCTTCCACAGCCTCCTTACGGCTGCGTCGTCTCCTGTCTAGGGTTTGCATCTCGTCTCCTGTCTAGGGTTTGGTTTAGGGAATTTAGCATTTTTCTTTGGAAATTGATGGTGTTTATTGCTAATTTCATGTTTGTAACAATGTTAATGATGATTGGATTACCGACATTTTGCAATTTCTTGAGGATTTGATACTGATATGAAGAACAACATCTTTTCGATATATCCGTTTAGAATTGATTGTATTTCTTGAGGGTTAAAATGATAATTTGTTGTCATTCAGAGAACAATTACCAAACAACCTTGTTTCATTCAGCACTTAACCATTCTGATCCTCTTAGCCATTATAACCTCTTAACTATTCTGAACTAAATCATTTAGCAACTGCCAAACAACCCATAAGTGTTTATTGACAAAAGTCATCGCCTCCACTTGCTTTATTAAATAATATTCTCGACCATCAAAAATTAATTGTTGATAAATGTCTTTTTTTACTTGGTACTGATAAAAGAGGGTGGTAAAGGTAGGAAAGACAATGGAGCCCACGAAAAAGCAATTAAACCGTTGGCAACAGCTGTAATCGCAAGAACAACCTGTCACCAAACGGGCAGTCGGGTCATCATGTCTTCCCCCATGCCATGTGGTCCTCACGGGCAGACCTCCCTGCCCGCCCTTCCCACCTTATATTTACCCCTCCATCACCATTCCCAAATCCACCACTTCAATTTCCTTCCCCTCTTCACCATTTTTACACTTTTTCTATCGCTTTCCTTTTTTGGAAGAATCATTCACGTGAAGGGAATGGAATCAATGAAGTTGAACTTCTTCGCCGTCGTCGTTGTCATGTTGATGGCCGTATCGGCGGTTACTAATGTCACTGCACAAATAGCTCCGGCACCTCCCCCATCCTCCGACGCCGTCGCATTCGTCCCTACTGCTGCCATTGCCTCCGTAATTGCTCTATCCGTCGGATTCCTCTTCTAAATTGATTTGATTCTTCAGAGATCTGCTTTGTTTGAAGTGATGGTATTGGTACGTAGATTTTTCCTTTGAAGGAGAAAAATGGTTCAACATCATTTGTTTAAACGTATTTATTGGTTTTTTTTTTTTTTGTGATTTAATTCGTTTCATTTGTGTTAGATTGTGATGGTGGTCTTGTAATCCTTGAACATATTGGAGTTATATATAGTTTTAGTGATTGGATTGAATAAATATTTCTTATTTCTTATTTTTCTGTAAAAGGATTCTCTGCACATTTAGTTGTACCCAAACATTTACCTGGTAAAATATTAATGGGATAAAAGTTGTCACTCTCGATTATCGGATAAGATTCTCGATTTTTGTCATCACTCTTATTACGTAAGATTTTCGATATCTGTCACGTTAATCCTATAAACACTTGGCAATTTAGCGTTTTTTAAACAACTCCGATTACTTATTTCATACAATTCCACGAAATCTCGTGAAATTTCGAATATGTTTGTAGGATTTCAAAATCTTATGTCTGTGGGATTTCAAATCCGGACAATCTAAACAAACCAAATATAGGATTGAGATGAATTTGAAATTCAAATCCAACGAGATCTCAAATTTTTCAATCCTATGTTTTTATAGGACTTTAAAGATAAATTCACACACCGTGGATTTATGCCATAAGCTTTAAATCATGTTGGTTGGATGTAAATATAGAGTTGTTGGTGTATCCCAATTTTAAATACGGTAGGTTGGTTGTTTCTATCAATCATTCAATTCCTTTGTTTGTAATGCTAGGGGGACGTTTACTAAACGCTTACTCGGGTAAGTGAACATCAAGTCACAGTATCTTACCGGATGAATATGGTAAGGGTCAAAAATCTTACCCAGTAAGAGCGAGACAGGGACCAAGAGTTTTACTCGATAAGTGAGAGCGACGACTCTTCCCACGGTAAATGCTTACTAGGTAAATTGTTTCATACGATATCGTTTTGGTGGATTAAAATCATACCCAGTAAGTCAATGATAGTGTTAAATTTTGTCGGTAAGCGCTTACCGAGTAAGTGTTTAGTAAATGGCCCCTAAGTGCTATATGCAGGCCAGTGGTAGGAATTTTCTTGTCGAGACGAAGGGATACATAATGCTACCATTATATAAAAATCACTCGAATAAAATATACTAATTTTTTAAGGGTTTGGAACCTAATCAAATTAAATGTTTTCTCCACGCCAATAATTTGTTACTGTTTCTTGAATGGTAGTGTTTTTCATAGAACATATTTTAAAATTATACATCACCACAATGTAACGTGAATCAGATTGAATTTTAGGTGGCGTTTGGTTCGCAGATTCTAGACGAATCTGAAGAAATTGAAATGTTGAATTCTTTTGACTAGATTCTTTTACTTCATTTGATTCATTCTTTTCAATGGAAGGAATCTTCAGATTCCTATGAATTCCATGGATAGTGGATTTTAACATTCCTTGATAAATAGATGATATTGTGATGGAATGGAATTTCTTATTTTCATAATATCCAATATACCCTCGACCCAAAATGCCTAATCTCATAAAAACACAATACGTATAATCTGGAGAGCTACCATTACAAGCAACTTCTCGATCTCTTGTTTCTCCATCGAACACCAACTCGCAACAGGTAATCTTTCGATTTCTCCCTGCTCGATCTCTCTCTCTCTCTCCTTGCTTGATTTTGTTTCTCCTTGCTCGATTTCATTTCATGGATTTCTCCTGCTCGATTTTTCTGTTTGATTTGAATATTTCGGTTTGGTTTCTTCGATGAATGCTGAAACAAAAACCATCAAAATACACTATGGTGAAACCAATTTCTGTTTGCTTGCTTCGACGAAGGGTGAAACTGAAACCATCAATTTATGTTTCTGTGTTTGTTGGTTCTGTTTGTGTATTGTTTCTGTTTTATTTTGCTTGCTTCGATCAGTGGTCAAACAGAAACCAATTTTGTTTCTTTGTTGTTTATTTGCTTCGATTTTTGTCAAACAGAAACCAATTATATTTCTTTGTTGTTTGCTTGCTTTGATTTTTGTCAAACAGAAACCAATTCTGTTTCTTTGTTGTTTGCTTGCTTCGATTTTTGTCAAAAGGGTATTTTAATCATTTACCAGAATTTCATTCCAATTCCAGAACTACATTCTGTGAACCAAACAGTCAGATTCTAATTCCTTTAACAGATTCCATTCCAATTCTGCCAATCAAACAGGTCAAACCTAACAACATTCCACTCCAATTCATTTAAAGTCAAATTCCTTTGATAGACTTCATTTCATTCAATAACATTATGCAAATCAAACGCCACCTTAGAGAATTGCATGGAATGATTATTGTGCCCATCCTTGAATAGCAATTGTCATATTTTTAAAAGTCAGATAGTTTTGAGTAGCGAGTGTTATATAGTCTAAGCATTAAGAAACAACCAAAATATAGTTGACGACAAAATTGGATTTATGGGATTCAACGTTGAATCAAGAAATATAAAACAAAATAAATAACAGTAATCGAGGGGTCATATTTATTACTTTGCATAATCACCAAAAAATAGTTAAAACTAGATAGTAATCTGAATTATTTCATACATAATCTGATTTAGAAAATAACTCAAAAAATGTTTGTGGTTCTAAGTTGAAATAACCTAATAATCTGTATTATTTTATATAGGATTTTATTCTAACAATTTGCTGCAAAAACATGTTTCCATATATTAGCATATGGTTTTTCAAAACAAAAATACATACAAATTTTTTTATTAGTTATAATATCACTCGGCCTAATTTGATGCCTTTGACCGTTGTCGGGGCTGCCTATCTTTAGGGTAGGCCCCGACTATATGCACCTTTTTAATATTAAAATGAAATCAGATTATGTATTGAGAATGTAAAAATTAGTATTGACATTGATATTTGTGACTAAAAAACCAAAAAGTAGGATTGAATTTAATAATCTATATTATATTATAAAGCATTTGACAAAAACTTTTAAAAATCATTTTTTATGTATAAAGTACTGTTTATTGATGCATATTATTTAAAATTCAAGATTACAAGTTAATTGTGCATAGTTACAACTTATTAAAGTTTTATGTTTGAATTTGTGTAACTAACTGTAGATAGACATAATTAAATAGAGAATAAACATCTCATTTTAAATATATAAAATCTAAAATATAATTAGGATAGTAATTGAGATCTAACAAAATATTTAATTATAATCTTTATAAGAAAATTATATTATTAAACAAAATATAAATTACTTCGTTATTAAAACTAAATTAAATTATAATAAAAAATTGAATTAAAAAATTACACAAAAAATAGAAATTTTAAATAGTTAATTTGATACTAATATTGATATATTTTTGTCAAATTTTTATGATATCTTTAAATTTATATTTTATTCAAAAATAAAAACATTATAATTTTTTCAAAATCACATAAGACCATATTATAACATCGATTAAGATAAAAAATAAAATGAAATATTAAAATCAAAATGTATCTCGCTACATTACGCGAGTACTTATCTAGTATATAAAAATGCATTTATATATAACCAGCGTAGAAATGGTTCAATGCATAACCATAGGATGCCATATATGACGATTGTGTGAAATTGAGAAATAAAATCCCATATAAATTGTTGAGATATTATAGTATTCATAATAATTTAGTAAAGGTTTGATGAAGTCAAATTTGGTTGTATAATAATCACCAAATAAAATATTTGGATAAATAATCATAAATATTATTTCATGTTATGATTTAAAAAACAGGCCTTTTAACATGCTACTATAATATTGATATATGGGTGTTTAGGATTGCTTATTTGAAATAACTTATATTTTTCTACAAAAGTATTTATCAATTTATTAGAAGTCAGAAAGGTTTAGCTTCTTCAAAAACTATTTATTATCGGTTTGGCACCGGTATAAGTTGTTTATTCAAACACTCAAAAGTATTTATTATCGRTGTCACACCGGAATAAGTCAATAAATTGTTTTTATAAGCAATCCAAAACAACCCCTTAATGTTAAATTGAACCTTGATTTGGGTTGATAACATATACCAAATAATAAACTTACACTGCCATTAAAAAAACAAATAATAATATTTACATGAATATTTCACATCATATACATTTTATTGCCATAATCTAAGATATATACACAAACATAAATCTGAAAAGTCCTTCATTACTACAACTTAGAATAAAGCTTAGGCTAAATGCTTAATTTAGAACAGAGTTACAGACTCTTCAAATCATCGTACCTGAACTTCCAATGCAAACAACTTGTCGTTCTTCAAAAATATGCAAAAACGCACTACACTTTGCAAGAATAAACAAATTTAGATGGAACTATCATAATGTATCCGTCACCGATCATTCTTGCAAAGCATAACGACTCAATTTTCTTGACGTTTTTCAAAAAACGACCATTAATTTGCTATAATAATTGAATCACTAATTCAAGTTATAAAGATTTATTGGTAATTAGATACCAAATTTGAGGCTAGAGAGGTTGTTCATAGTAACCCCCATATGTGATGTGGGCAGTGGACAAAGGGACCCCTCTCAGTCTCACTGCTGACATTGCCTCATTTGCACGATCAACCACTTGCTTTATCCTCTGCAATTTACATTTACAATAATTACATTTAATTTAGTTTATTAATTTTAACAACTCTTATAAATTCATAAATGGATATAGATTAAGACAGAGGGCATATATATATATATATATATATATATATTAAGACAGAGGGCATATATATATATATATATATATATATATAGGTGAGTTATTATACAATCTTTTATATTTGTACAACTAATACAACTCAATCTCAACTTTCCATTTATTTGATGAATATGTTATTTCATAGAAGTTTTGATTGTTTCCTAATATAAAATATTGATCATAATCAATGAACCATATTCATCTTCTATAAATATTCAAATCATAATAAATAAACTCTAATCATTTCCATAAATATCTAAATTTATTGGGTTGCATTGGTTGTACAAATGCGATGAATTGCATTTGAAACAAACTCGTTCTCTCTCTCTCTCTCTCTCTCTCTCTTTCTCTCTCTCTCTCTATATATATATATATATATATATCAATAATGGGAAAATTGCACCAAAATGGAACCAACTTTCACTTGATTCTTATTTTGGGGAACCAACTTTCAAAATCGTCATTTAGGGGTCTCTATCAAACTTTTTGTTTATTTAAGGGTCTGGTTGACCGTTAATGCTGATATCATCCAGATTTTTTTGCCAACTAAAGATATTTCACGTAATATTAATTTTTTTATTATAAAACTAATATTTTATGTCATATTTAAAATTACAAAATAATTATAGAAAAATAACTAAAATTCGTTTTTTTCCAAAAAATAATGCAATAAAATCTATTTTTCATTTCAAATCTCATTTTTTTTTTAAAGTCAGATATCAAATTGAAGATTTTTTCAAAAAAAATCCAAATTACCACAATAAAAATTGTTTTTTACTAATGCAATAAAAAAATCAATTGTAATAGAAAAAAAATTAATTGATGCAATAAAAAAATAAATATTGAATATCACATTCAAGGTTTTTATATCTAACCAATCCGTAACAAAAGTTTGATAGAGACCCTTAAATTACCTGTTACCTGTTCAACAGATCAACCAGACCCTTAAATAAACAAAAAGTTTGATAGAGACCCCTAAAAGACAATTTTGAAAGTTAGTTCCTCAAAATAAGAATCAGGTAAAAATTGGTTTCATTTTGGTGCAATTTTTCCATCAATAATTCATAAAGTTGCTTTTTTACACGATCTAAATAAACACACCATTAAAAGAATCTTGATGAATTGAATGAATCTAAGCAAGAAAACTTATCGAACCTTGTCATCGGAGAAGATTTGGATCCTAATCTTGTGATTGTGTTGTTTGTGCCTTTGACCACTTCCGAGAAGGATGATACAAATGGTGGCAGCAGCCATGCCAAAAGAGCAAAAAGCACCGATCCCATTTACACCCCATTTCCATAGATTCAACCCTTCATTGCCTTCTTCATGGATCGCCTTCTCGACCTCATCAACCCCCACTTTTGATGCCATATCATCATCATCATCATCATCACTTTTTTCCTCATATTGAAACACATCCGTGTCAATATACGGTAAACTGATTCCTCGAGGACTTGATCTCGAGGAATCCATTTTCATTTCGACAAATTCGTTCTCTTTCTTGAAGAAAACCTGGAAGATCGGATCAAGATCCGCTTCCGGAGCTTCTTTGAGCTCCCCGTTGATCAAAACCGGGAGCCCGGTGACTTCTTTCACCTCCTCTTCACGGTGATCATCCATTTGAATCGGGAGAGGAATCAATTGGTTTCGCGATCTTGAATCCTCTTCGACGAATTCTCGTGAGGATTTGAAGTAATCCATTTTGAAGAGATTCTTGGGACTCCTCACATACTTTCTTGAAAAGAATTTGTTGCCACCATCATCATGGACTTGAAGAAGGCCATCATAGGGTATGTTCACCCATCCTTCATCTTCAAGATCCATTTTCTTGCATTAAAGTTGAGATGTTTTGATTGGATTGTGAAGAAAAAGAGATGGGTTTTAAACAGAAATTGGTGAATTATTGAAGGTATGGAGTGTAGTGAGGAATTTCAGTTGGAAGAAGCCACCTCTAATGGTGTGTTGTTTGAGAAATTTGGGATCTTTTCTTCAGTGGAATCCATTCTAATGCTTGACAAATTAGGGGTTGGTCCAATGGGGCCCCCACATGATGTGAACCAATTTGATTTCAATATTGTTTTCATATGTTCTTTAAGATATTTTTTAAATCTAATTATACCATCGTTAGTTTGGATAACTGATATATCATTCTAAATAATGGATAGATTTTGTTTTGTATGTATGTATGTATGATCCTAAAACCAAAAAAAGGGTGGGTGATTGATTGGTTTGAGTTTGGTTCCAAAAGTCAAAAGTACCAGGAGGTCTTAGGTTCAAATCCAAGAAGAAATAAAAATCCTCTTGTGGCCATGGAGGTTCAAATGCGGTGACTCCGGGCTATCTGCAAAACAGGTGGTCGTCCTGGGATTAGTCGGCTCACATAGCGAGTTAGATATTCAGGTTAATAAAAAAAAATATATTATTATTATTATTGAAAAACATATTCCTGGCTGCAGGTAATCTAGCACAAGCCAAGTACACCTCTACTTCACATGTTATGTGGTCCTCCTAATTTCAGCTGCTACAAAATCAACTCAACCACCCATTCCTCCTATATTTATGGAAAACCATCAATATTATTATCCAACTTAATATTTTCATCGCACCGTAAATTTAATGATAACGTCGATGAAGGGGCCGTTTACTAAACACTTATCCGGTAAGTGCTTATCGGCAAAAATTAACACTATCATTTACTTACCGGATAAGATTTTAGTCCATCAAAACGGCATTGTATGCAACAATTTACCCGGTAAGCACTTGGTAAGAGTCGTTGCCCTCACTTACCGGGTAAGACTCTTGGTCCTTGTTTTGCTCTTACCAGTAAGATTCTTGGTTCTTACCATATTCATCCGATAATATAATGTGATTTGATAAGCGCTTACTAACTGGAGTTCGTGAAAACGCGATATTAAAATAACAGACTAGGGCATGTGAGGAAACTAGGCTAACTAGTAAAAAGGGATCTCCAGAGGTGCGATTAGAGTACTAAGAGTAGGGGATGACTCGCCTTACGTTAGCATTTTTATGGCATGTGAAAATTACGGTGAATTTAATGATAACGTTGATACAGTGTGAAAATGCAATATTAGGATAGGAAGTTGGGAGGTTATGTTTTGGTAGTTTTGATATATGTTACAGACTTGTTAATACAATTGTAACTCTAAAAGGACGAACAATTGAAGATGTCTACGCATGAGTATAATAGAGACAAAACACGATAATTCATTTCATTAACTTGTAGGTTCGTGGCAAGACGCTATCTACAACCAAGTGGTCCTGAATCTACAGCCTTCTTAGACCCGTGAGCTCGTGGCCAAGCCGCCACCGTAATCAACCCATGTAGGGTAACAAAGACACGTGAACAACACGTTGCCAATTGACTTCGAATGCAAAATCTTGAATCTAACCAACCACGAAAATGACTTGAAGGGGTTTTCCCTAAAGACAGTGGTGGAAACAAAAATTTGAAGTGTTTTTAGGGGCGAAAAGTATGTAATTTGTGATTTTTGTACGAAAATTTTAACTTTTTTATTAATTACGTAAACCGAGGGAAGGTGATAATACATGTTAATCCTCCATCCCATCATTTGCCCAAACAGACCAATGCCAAAGAAGAAACCCAAATATGAGAATTTTTTTAAGTACATAATATTTATATACGACAAAACTACACACACTTCTAGTTTTTGGTAATGTTTGAACCTTTAACCTCCAAGAATGTTGGATTCCACCAGTAACCTAAATATCAGTGGGCCAATGACCTTTTGGTACATACGGGCAATTCCTTGCACCTTCATGAAAGTACCACGTGTTGTAGGATTTCAATATGGTCCAGACTTTATTGACGACATTGATCATATGAAGAACACGTTTGAACATATGGATTGTCTTCAAAAGAGGGCGAAACGACACACCATAGAAATATAACGTGAGATTTTGAGTATTTGGAACACATTTAGGAATTCCCGCAAAGCATAGGAACTGATCGGTGACCGCATAATAAAATTCCGGTAGCGGTTTGTGTTCATAGTTTGCACTGGAGGAACACAATGAACTCCTTCCCCTGCACAAAATGCATGTTTTATCGAAAATTTCGAACATAACAGAAGATTCGTTACCAATTTTGAAGTAGAAAAAATGGCAATTTGATGTTAATTATACAACACTTAACTTATATCGGTTAATTTCTCTTAAAATAAGTGTCTATTTAAAAAAAATTGTTAACTTTCCAATTTTATCCTTACTTATGATATAGAAAAGTTCATCATTCCCTTTATTATTAAAGGTAAAATTATCATTAATTAATTAGAAAATGCAATAATTACAAATTTCTAAAACTGTATAAATTAGACATTTATTAGATTCTGGAGATCGTTTTCCACCCTAAGACTGTAGTTTGGATGGCTTGTTAGCGAATATGATCATAGGTAGGCAGTGTATCCCGAGTTGTGAAAATGTATTACAAGTCGAATGAGAAAGATTCAATTAAGAATGTTCAATTTGTTTACGTGATTTAATTGTGGGTCCTATCTCCGTCTATTTTCACAAGAAGACAGTGAAAACATAAACTAATTCGAGCAAGAAACATGTCATATCTATATTGTACATGTAATCGATGTATTCCAAATTGTGCCTTAGAACCCTTCTACCAAATGCTTACCAGGTTGGGAATGGAAAAAACTGATGTTCTTACTCGATAAGTGACTTAGGAGACTTTAATCCAATTAGTGCTTACCAGGTAAGAGACACTTATGAACAATTCATACTGATGGCTGAAAATGTTACCCGATAAGATAAGCAACTCTTTTGTCATATAAATATCCCTTTAATTGTATTTGGCATTTTCTTATTGACAAACGACCGGAGGGTTTTATCGGGTTCAAATTTGTGGATCTTGTAGCTACTAAGCCAAAGGTCGGTTTATCATGAATTAAAGAATAATGGATTTGTGGTCAACCAAATTTATTTTACATCGTCCCAAAAAAAGTCATATTTTCTTGAATAAAAGTTTTAACAAATTCATGTGTGAACATGATTGAAGAAGGTTAAAGGTAGATAAACATTGATAAAACGTGGTTTGTGAACCGTTAGATAAATATAAGAACACCCATCCAAAGGCTCAAATGTTCTCATCACAAAGCAGTGAGTTCTAGGTTTAGTCCCTATGGTTCAAATTTTTTACGGACTAGAGGGTGTTTGGTTCGCAGAATGATTTCTGAAGAAATGAAATCTATCAATGAAATTGGAACCTGGAAGGAATTGGAATGAAATGTTATCAGGTTTGACCTAGTGTTTGGTTGACAAGAATGGAATGTATATGTCCAATGAATTGGAATCTGTCTATTTGGTTTACAACAGAATCGGAATGATGAAAAAAGAAAAAAAAATGCTCTCTGATATTCTTTTTTATTTTTTTAAACACAAATAATAATAAAATTAACATTTGATGAGCAGATTGTTTGAGCTTTAGATTTTTGTGAGCTCTATTTGGTTGTCATCTCGGAACAGAAATCGGAAACAATAACAGAAAAGATCAGAACAAAAAATCGGAAACATAAATCATACATAAATCGGAAACTGTAAGCATAAATCTTATGCAGAAATCAAATTCGTATGCAGAAATCGAAATTGGAAGAAGAAATCGTATGCAGAAATCGAAATTAGAAGCAAAAATCGAAAGCATCAATCATAAGTAGAAATTGTATCTGCAGTCTTCGATCGATGATCAAGATGAAACAAGTCATTCAAGATGAGAGAAACCAGGTTCAATATTGGAAGCAACAGATGAGAATGGAAAAGGTGTGCCTAAGGTTATTAAGTTGTAATGAGGGTATTTTTCTCATTTATAAAATTTTGATGGAATAGATTTCAATTCCATCTCTTTTATAAAGAAATAGTGAAATCCTTAAATGAGAGAATGTTTGGAATTCAATTCCATTCCATGGGTAACCAAACATTGAAATGAAATTTCGTTAACGGAATTGACCATTCCAATTCCATCAGATTCTGACGGATTCCAACGAACCAAACGTCCCCTATGATCCCAAAATCAAAATGAATATGCCTTTGAGACTCATGGCTTGCAGTTTTGCGCCTTCCGAGTCCCTATCTCTAACTGAATCGAAAAGATTCAGTTAACCTAATTAAATTCAGGGACATTTTAGTCTTTTCCACCCTTTTCTTTGGTCTTCTTATACCATTTTTTGGTCTTTTATCATATTATTATTTATCTATTCCATATTTGCCCTAAACCACAAGGGAATATGAAGGGATCCCCAACTCCCCCTCCCCCCTCCCGAAACCTCCTTTTTCTTTTCCCATGCTCCCCCTGGCATGAGAACCCTACACCACCAGCCTCCACCGCCTGATCTTTGCCAGAGACCATCACCACCCCAGCCCCTCTTCGCCGAAAGAAGAAAGAAGACAGATGGCATAGACCGTATGGTCTCAAGTTTCTATACCGTTGCCAGTGAAATAACATCGAAATTTACTGATCCAAATGAGGAAAGACATACCAAATATGCTTCATTAGTTCATTTTTTTTTATCTCAGAACATGATTAAGAAGTAAATACATGTTTTACAAGTATAGAGGAGCCTGGTCGCTAGCTTTACACTGAAGATTGAAGCCCGATGACACCTATTAGACACCGATGCAAAAGATGTCAGTTGTTGGTCAAGAAAATTTCATAGAAAGATAAAAATGAACTGATTTTGAAAGCTTAAATCAAACAGTCATCTTGTTATAAGCACCAAAGAACAACTATACATGACCCATATCATGATCTTGCATTGTTCAATTGACCAATTTAGAAATATCATCAGCAGTGCCGTTCCTGGGGGCGAGCACCCGTCCTGGCCCCAAAACATTAGGGGGCCCGGGAAAAAGGGTATAGTCCGAAGGAGTCCTGAAAAACTTTAGTACATAAAAGAGGTCCAAAATTTGTTTTAGTACAAAAAATAGTTGATAGAAAGAGTTTATTAGGATTAGTTGATAACAAGGACCCCAACCAACTCTAGCACCTGTTTTCTTAGAATCCTTACCACAACCAACTCTAGCACCTGCATTTCCAGTTGTCTTGCTAAGCTTATGCCCACCTGTTGCATGAAAATCACAAAAGTGTGGACTGAATGCATATTTTTTGAAACTATTTGAGAATTAATCAAAATTCCTACCCCTTGAATGATGATAAAACATGAATCTTGTTGACCAAAATCAATTGCTTCAATGATTTCTAAGATGATGTCGTGAAATAGGTAATCCTAACTCCGAAATTTGCCCAAGAGAAACGGAAATGTTGCAATTTATGTATTACATTTACCTCTCCCTAGATCATCAGGATCAGCATGAATAACAACTGCCCTCCCCAAAATGGAATGCTGCCCCTTTAGTGGAATCTGCACAACATTTCAAAGGATACAGCCCAAGAAAACTTTTAGCTTTCCAAAAAATGAGCAAATCCTTTAAATAATACGGGGATTTTAGTTGTGAGAAAGAAGCAATTCGATTCTCTCCATAATCAACGAATCCTCAATGATTAAGAAAGTTGGTACAACTGAGTTATAAGATGCATACATGGTAATCTTCAATCGATACCTCAGCAACTCCTGCAAAACCAAAAAGAAATGGTAAAAGGTAACCTAGGAAACATTAGGGTTCCATTTGTTGATACCATTTTTCTTGGTTCTTTATCATCTGTTTTCATTTCTCCTAAATGGGACCGTAATAATATCTTTATGTGTCCTAGTATAAATGGGACCAACAAAATGAAAATAGAAAATATTCATGGATGAATAGAGACTAAATTTGATAGTTCTAAGGGCAGAGAACACACACCGTCTTGGCCAGCTACAATGTTCCCCAAATCGCCTGCATGGCGTATAGCATCCAGAGGACCTCCATGATCTTTGTTTAGTGGATTGAAATGAGGTCCTAATTTTTACATCAAATTACACATGAACATGTAAGAATACTCCACCCATCAAACCAAAAAATTGGAGTATAATCACACAAGTAAACAAAATTAACCGATCACATTTCAATACTACGTAATCACATTCAAATTATGGATGTGAAAGAACTCATCAAACTGTAACATGTCCAACATTGTGACTAAAAAGTTAGAAACTCTAGGTCAAATTCATAATTCAGAAGTGAAAAACTGAACTTTCAAAACGAAAAGTGGACTGTTATGGATATAAGGAGTACCAGTGGAGTTGCAGCCGTTAGTGGTATCACCAAGAGCATGAATATGGAAGCCATGAAGACCTGGTTTGAGCCCTACTATCTTACCTCTCACATGAGTAACCCCTGTTTACATTCACACAAATTCAACAAGTAATTTTGAATTAGTAATTGAAATAGAAAACGAATAACGAATGAAATGGAACTCTATTGAATTAGTGAAATCTAGCAACTTTCAGGTCCTTTTTCTAGGGATTTCTTTTCGTTAATCGAAAATGAAAATTGGGTGCAAACCCCCAAACCCAATACAAAAAGAGTAAAAACTGAGATGAGAGACCATTGTGGTCCTGCAAGAACTGAAGAGATCCTTTGATGGAGTTGTCGCCGCCGGTTATGACTGCCACCGCTTTCAAACCACCCATTTTCCGCCGACTCAGCGTTTCTGGACTTCCACCACACGAGCTTCATCATCATCATCGCTCTAGCAAACCAAAATATTGAGTCAATTTTACAATAGACACCCTCATACTATAAATTACTACAAAACCAACCCCTATTTTTCTAATTATTACATATTTAACCCTCCGAATATTTTTGATGGCTAAGTTGGACTTTTAAAACTATAAGGATCAAAATAGCATAAAATGAAAAAAAATACAAGGACCAAAAGTGTATTTTAGTCTATAATGAAATTTGGGGTGGTGAGAGGCGAGATGAGAGGCGATGGAGGTGCAACGCACAGCAAACGAAAAGAAAGTTGGCGGCAACTATAAATAACGAAACAGATGCAGCAACCGCTTTCCCCAATAATTTCTTTCTTATTTTCCTTTCTTTCGATTTGATTTTGGTTTAATTAATTGAGATATGAGAGAGATCGTTAGCGTACACATTGGACAAGCAGGGATTCAGGTTGGAAATGCTTGCTGGGAGCTCTATTGTCTCGAACATGGAATTCAAAACGATGGATTAATGCAAGGGTAACTATAATTTTGAATTTGATTTGTTTTTTATGAATTGGGGAAGGTGAAATTCGGATTTCAATGGATTACCTTCCTATGCAATAAGTTTGATCTCTTTTAGGGTTTGCATCAAACAGAATACAGTGTGTGTGATGCAATCTGTTTGGTGTTTCACATTGATTAGACATGAATCATCATATATATATATATATATATATATACCTTGCACGATCCTTCGCCTGTACATGTATATAACTCATGATGTCCTCTTTTCCATTTTGGTTTGGAACATTCGATTCCGTAGATCAACTTCTGGATATGGCAGCATTTAAAGTTTCTAATGGTTTTGGGTCAATATGTCTATCTAGAGATCACGTCTAATGAATATGATATCGATGCGTATAATATGACCATGACGTTTTGTTTCATTGATTTTATCATATGGTTTAAAATTAATGAACGTAGTTTCAGCATCTTCTTTAGAACTTTTCCATATATGCATCTCATTTCGACCCATGCAGCCATGCTGTGTCTTATTAGAACACTTTTAAATCCGTTTGGAGTATGACAGAACCCACCGTATATTGTTACTTGAAAGATGAAAACTTGAGCGTCCAAGGTGGCTTGTAATCTTGCATTCAGAGTTGTATGGTCCTGGAAGCTAATTGTACATGTTTGTAGATCAAGTTACATTCATTATACTACAAGAAAATCGGTTTTATAGGACGTCAAATATGTCTAAATGTTATGATACACCGCTTAATGGAACTTAATTTATGGGACTAAACAATCGTGCATCCTATATAAAGGTGTTACAATAAGTTTATAGAAAGCTTTTGGGCATCTTAACAAGTTTTTAGGACACTTTTGAAATTAAATGTCCTTATAGTCTTTTTATACGACATTATTTGAAAAATGTCTTATAAAAACAAGTGCCCTATAAACATAAAGCTAATAGAACATTTTATTTCAAAAGTGTCATAAAACATGTTATAATTTGGCATTCAAAAGCGTCATATGAACTTGTTATATAACTTTTACATTTGATGCACAATTCTTTGTCCAGAAACTTAAACTTATAAAGCAATCTATTATGACATTTCCTCATATTTGTTGTCCTATAAAAGCGGACTTCTGGCAACTCCATTGGAAATAGATTTGGTTGCCGTATTTCCTCCGGCTACTCCCCTGATGTGATCGATTCTCACTTCTTGTTGAGTATATTGAGTTGCGTATAATATAAGAATGTCGTGATCCATATCACGAGTTATCGATCATATGATAAGTTGTTTTAATGTGTTGTAGTGACAGCAGCAAAGGCTCTGCAGATGATTCCTTCAATACCTTCTTCAGCGAAACCAGCTCTGGAAAGCATGTGCCCCGGGCTGTATTCGTTGACCTGGAACCCACTGTCATCGATGAAATTAGGACCGGAAGCTACCGACAACTCTTCCATCCTGAACAACTTTTATCTGGCAAGGAAGATGCAGCTAATAACTTTGCCAGAGGACATTATACAGGTATAATACTACCCACTACAACAAAATCAGCTTTATAGAATGCCAAAGATGTCTAAATATCTTAATAAACTACTTTATAAGACTTAAGCTTACTCAGCTAAAGTGTGTCTTTCAATATTACAGTCGGAAAAGAAATGGTCGATCAGTGTCTTGATCGAGTCAGAAAATTAGCTGACAATTGTACGGGATTGCAAGGGTTTATGGTTTTCAACGCGGTTGGTGGTGGCACCGGTTCGGGATTAGGATCGTTGCTTTTAGAACGCTTGTCAGTAGAGTATGGGAAAACGCCCAAACTCGGCTTCAGTATTTTTCCATCTCCACAGGTTATGTTACTAGGAAGGACCTTTAGTTACTTTAACCATCACATACTGTGTTCTAACCCTCCGTCCCAAAGTAACTATCCACATTTCTATTTTAGTTTGTCTGAAAATAAGTGTCCACTTTCCAATTCTATATTTAATTATGAGATCAAGAAATCCACTACTCCCTCTATTATTAAGGGTAAAGTTGTCATTTAGTTAATTACTAACTGTAATAATTACAGATTTCTAAAAGACTAAAATTGTGTGCCTTTTTCATCGTGGACATTTATTTTAGGTGTCAACTGCAGTTGTTGAGCCTTACAACAGTGTGCTATCAACTCATTCCCTCCTAGAACACACAGATGTGGTGGTGCTGTTGGACAATGAAGCCATATATGATATCTGCAGAAGGGCTTTAGATATTGAAAGGCCAACTTACAGGAATTTAAACCGCTTAATATCGCAAATTATCTCTTCTTTAACCACTTCTTTGAGGTTCGATGGAGCCATTAATGTTGACATTAATGAGTTCCAAACCAATCTGGTCCCATACCCACGTATCCATTTCATGCTTTCATCTTATGCACCCGTGATATCTGCTACAAGAGCCTTCCACGAGCAGAGCTCGGTTCAGGAGATTACGAGTTCTGTGTTTGAACCCTCTAGCATGCTGGCTAAATGTGACCCGAGGCATGGGAAGTATGTGGCATGCTGTTTGATGTATCGTGGAGATGTACTTCCGAAAGATGTCAATTCTGCTGTCGCTGCTATGAAGACCAAACGAACTGTACAGTTTGTTGATTGGTATGTTAATATTTATTTTTCACATAACATTACAACGAAATCAGCTTTATAGAAAGTCAAATATTTTTAAATGTCCTAATAAGCTGCTTTATAGGACCAAAGAATTGTGCGTGCTATATAAAGGGTGTTACTATAAGTTGATACGACCCTTTTGGGTGTCCTAACAAGTTTCTTAAGACACTTTTGAAATGAAGTGTAGAACACTTTTGAAGTGTCCTCTAAACATATCTTTTATAGGACACTCGTTTTTTATGACATGTTTTAAATAATGTCATAAAAAGACTAATCAGACGTTTTATTTCAAAAGGACTCAAGTCCTATAAGACATTTTGATATATTTAGCATCCAATAAAGCCTATTTTCTTGTAGCATAAGAATGGCATGATTGACATTTTGTTCCCATATTCAGGTGTCCTACTGGTTTCAAGTTTGGAATCAGCTACCAAGCTCCGACAGTGGTACCTGGGGGCGTTCTTGCGAAGACAAGGCGCGCGGTGTGCATGATAAGCAACAACACAGCTGTTTCCGAGGTTTTCAATCGGATTGACCTCAAGTTTGACCTGATGTTCGCTAAACGAGCATTTGTTCACTGGTACGTGGGTGAAGGGATGGAAGAAGGTGAATTCTCTGAAGCCCGTGAGGATCTTGCTGCTCTCGAGAAAGACTACGAAGAAGTCGGTCAAGGTGCTGATGAGGAGCAGGAAGAAGAAGAATGGTAGGTAGGTATGTATGTATGTATGTCTGTCCTGCCTAACAATGTCATCACCCATTATATATACAATTTCAAAACACAAACCTTTTTTCTGCTGGTTTCTAGTTACAATTGTGTAAAATGCCATTTTGAAGATGTCATTTATCGCACATAGTTGTTTCCATTTGCGCGTTTTTAGACGTTTTGGAGATTTAGGGGTACTTAGTTCTTAACGTTTTGGGGAAATCTATAGAAATGATCGATTGCTGACGAATGTTGGAGGTTAGTTTAACGTATTTTTCACATACACGAAAGAGCATCGAGACAGGCATTTGGACCAAACTAGGAAAGATTGATCTTGGATGTTTCTTAAACGAGTTTTAAAAGAGTTATCTCCGATGACAACCAAAGAGATTCGTGATTTTGATCTCCCAACCCTATAACAAAATCGGTTGTATAGGATGGAAAATATGTCTAAATGTCCTAATAGACTACTTTATAAGACTTGTATTTATGAGGCCATACAATTGTACGTCATGTATATATATTTATACAACACTTCTGTAAACACATATTTTATGAACTTGGTGCAAAAAGATGACTTAAATCAGAGCCAGAAACCGGGTATCGTGTTGATTCAGAAGTAGAAGAAATGGGAGCCTAATAAGTTCCTTGTTATTTCAAAATTTGCAATTAAATCCTAAAACAAAACTATGAAATTTAACAAAACAAAGAACATAAAGGAGGAAGATCCCAGATTGCTTCATTAGGATCATTCACAGTTTCAATATACTCTTGAACCCCGTTCATTGCATATAGCGACGCCGATATCTGTCTTTCTACTTTCATCCTCTCGAATTCAGAAAACTCCGTTACCAAACCCATCTCAGACAACACCACGTTTTTAGGCAACTCGACCATCGTTTGGCTCGATGCATATCTATGATCCTCAAAACCCCACGACATATTGCTCAAATCCGGTTTATAAGCATCATCAAACAATTTAGAAAGATTATCTTCTAGTTTCGCACCAGAAGAAAGGGAATCCCCACTCCCACCACTATTACTCGAACTACTACTGGTACTGGTACTGGTACTGATACTGTTACTGTCACTGGTACTGACACCGACATTGGTTACACTTGGAGTTGTGTTGCAACTGGTTACAGAGACCGAGGGGATGGAGGAATCTTGATTCCTTTTCTTGGGCGTTTTCTTGGTGTTGAGTAGGTTGCGAATCCGGGAAGCAAGTGGGGAGTTATGGGAAACGTGTGTAATGAAATTGGTTCGCGTATTGGAACCACGAAGAAGGCACGCAGCCTCATCATAGGCCCGAGCCGCTTCTTCAGCAGTCTCGAACGTCCCGAGCCACATTCTGATCTTCTGTGTTGTGTCTTTGATCTCAGCCACCCATCTTCCTGAAGGCCTTTGTCTCACCCCCACAAACTTATTGTTGTTGCTGCTGTTCTTACCTCTCCCTTTGCTCGGTTTCAAAACTCTTGGCTGCTGTTGGAACTGGATTTCCATTGGAAGAAGGTATAGATATACAGATAATGTGAACTCAAAGAGTGTAGCTTCTTCTATGTTCTTGCTTTGCTGCTTTAGGGTACTCCATATATATATATATATAGATATAGATATAGATATAGATATAGATATAGATATAGATATAGATATAGATATAGATATAGATATAGATATAGATATATATAGAATGTATGTATAGGTGTGCATATAATTTCTGAGGTTTCTATGTGTTGTTTCCTAGTGTTTGTTGGTTTCTGATTGAAAATTCTTTTATTGCCTATGAAGACAAGGAATTCCTTATTAGGATGACCAAGTTGCATTTGTTATATAAACATTCCATGAAGTGAAATGACTGATATGCCCCTTGGATATGGGAGATTAGTTATCAATTACAGGAATGGACGAGGGATATAAGATGACAATTTGACCTCCAAAATTGCTTGGGCGGACTTGGTCATACAAAAAGTGGTGCATGGGAGTTAACTATAGAATTTACTTTGCTAAGTTTTTTGGATTTACATATCAACCCCTAGAGTTTTTTGTTGGTTATAATTGAACCCGAATCGTATGCTATCTTGACGAAAAGACACCGAAGATTGCAAAAGTAGAGATTCGTATATTGTTTTCGTTATATAGGAGTGTATTTGAGCAATTCGGCTCGGTTTTTGAAAAATGGGTGTGCTTCAATCAAACTCGACAAAGGCAAGGCGAAGGATCGTGTGAGAAAATTAGTTAATGTGGGAAGCGTGAGAAAAAATTTGGACCATTGATCACATTTAATCTCAAACTTACCTATGAATCGCGTTTGATAGTTGATATGGAGATTGATCTGGTGCATCTTAGTGCATCTCATCCTAATGTGCATCCAATAGTAGAGATCTCTTTTTATGTTTCTCATCTTAACTTTCCTTCTTATTGAAACTCAACCAAAACTAGCTAATAAGTTAGTTTTTGGATGATGAGCCACTCATGTTTGGTAAAATTTAGATGATAATATATTTGACTAATGCTAAATAATTAATTGGAAAAATATCAAGGACATAATTTGGGGGGAAAAAACTAAATTAAAGTTCCTGGATCTGATAAACTACCTTTGGCTAAAAAAAACTAGTTATTGGTTATTAAGACAGCTATCTTTAGCAAAAATTATCTTATAATATAAAATGACCTAAAAATACATGTTGAAAATTTAATTGGAGATTAATATCGAGCAAGATCGTAGATAAGGGTGGCAAAAAATGACCCAACCTGTTAACCCAACCCAAAATTAATAGGTTGGGTTGAGATTTTCAACTCATTTAAATAAATGGGTCAAGTCACCTAACTCATTAAATAAATGGGTTGGGTTTGGTTGAATTTATCAACCTATTTAAAATATTATATAATTTTATTTTATTTTTAATATTATATCTAGTATTCAATTTTTAATTTTGTTTTATTCTTAATTAAAAATCCTACCATTGTGAGATGAAACTCCAAATTTCAATCGTCTCTATTACTTTTAATCATCATGAAATCCTAAGAAAACTTTTTAGTCCATTACTCCATTATCGCCTCCAAAGTCCAATCCAACTTATTTTAAACAATATATTTGTTGTGGTTGTGTTTTATTCAAACTTTGAACAATTTGTTTGTATTTTGTGGTCGTGTTTTATTCAAAACAAATTAAATAGTCTAACCCTTTTTTATTTAAAATTTTAAAATTAAATGGGTCAACTCAGGTTCAACCCATTTATTTAACAAGTTGGGTTAAGAAAATCTTAAACAAGTCAACCCGTTGTCAACTCATTTAGTTAACAGGTTGTGTTGGGTCCATTTAAATTAAGTGGGTTGGGTTGAGTTAAAATTTTTAACATGTTTAATAAATAGATTGAATCTAAACCCATCCCAACCTAACCCATTGACACCCCTAATCACAGAGGTTAATGAAATATGGGTTGAAAATGAAAACCAAAGTAAAGGTTGGGTGAAATTTTGAAGTTGAGGGAATTCTAATGGGTCAAAGTCAGACATGAAGAAAGATGAGCCAAAATGCTGCCACGTGGAGGCAAATTAGGAAATCTAGAAAGATGATGCCAAATAGTAAAGTCTGAAGAAGAAAACGTTGGAAGAGAGAAAATGACACAATTTTGTATATATATATATATTTAATTAATTTTAAATTCAATTCAGTATTCGGACTTGTCGTAAACGCTGCGTTTTGTTCGATCCAATTTTCCAAACCATCAAAGAAAAACATCCACACTCACAAGTTGACTTTAAATAAATTAAAATGTAAAGAATTTGCATTTTTTGATGGTTTGGATTTTAAGGACGGATTTCTTAGTAGTTTTTTTTTTATTAACTTGGATATCCAATCCGCTATACGAGCCGATTAATCCCTGAGCGATCATCTGCTTTGCAGATAGTCCGGAGTTACCGTATTTGAACCTTTGTGGCCACAAGAGGATTTTATTTCTCATTGGATTTGAACCTGGGGTCTCGTGGTATTTTTGACCTTTAGAGTTAAGATCAAACCAATCAGACACCACCCTTGTGGTTGATTTCTTAGTGGTTGTTAGCCATAATGAAATTATATGTAATATTTTATTATTATATGCTTTAAAAAAAGATTTCGTATCATATCATCGACATCCTTATACACAATATTTCATTATAATCGTGGTTATTAATAGTTTCGCGTAAATACAATATTTCATTATAATCGTGGTTATTAATAGTTTCGCGTAAATACAATATTTCATTATAATCGTGGTTATTAATAGTTTCGCGTAAATTTTGAATACATACAGATTCAATTATACGTTAATAAACAAAACTGGTAGAGGACATAAATGTGAACATGCGACCCAAGAAACATCACGTCATCGCTTTGAAATTGCGTGAATCGAAGCGAGGTTGTTAATGACAAACACCCACTTGAGATTAATTTAACAGAATTTGGAAGGGATTAGGAGTTAGGACCACATAACATAATGGTGTCTTATAAATCATTGCAATTACTTCCGAGTTTTTTTTTGTTAAATATTTGTATGTTTTGTTTCATTTCGTCGTGTTGAAAACGACGTTATTCCCTTTTCCCGCCACTAATTATCTTTAAATTATAAAAATATCTTTTTGATGAATTATTATTATTATAAACTTATTGAATGTATGTAAATAAAATGATAACCTTACATCAAACCAACCTTAACCACGTCTATTGGTTACCAAAGAGACTTTGGCCTAACGGTATCATAGCTTTTAACCTCCTGGAAGGTCAGAGGTTCAAACCTCACCAAAGATGAGGAGGGTGTGTGAATTTATTTATTGCATTTGTTGTATATAATATTATAAGCACTGGTTTGAATCCCCTTTAAAGATTTTTCTGAGTTAAAAACCCATTAAATTAGTTAAGACAGGCACCCAGGCCATGGACCACAATTACTATAATATTACCATTTCACCATTAGGTTGCTAATTTCTTTTAATAATATAAAAAGGCTAAATCAGAAAGATTCCTGCTTAATATTTTAAAATACCTAATTCAATGTTTATCCCTTAATCAAAAGGTTCCATTAAATTTATTGGCTGTTTACTAAATCTCCTTACCAACTGATCACTTATCTTACCGAATGAGCATGTAAGAACCAAGAATTTTATCTTGGTAAATATGGGAAAGGACTCTTACCCGGTTAGCACTTACCGGTTATCAACAATCTATTTTAATAACCGAGAATGTTATCCAATAAGATAAGTAAACATGGGTGACGTGTTTCAAGTATTTGGTAAATCACAATCTCCATATTCATAATAAAGAGGTTGATACAAATTTACTCTTTATCCATCATAAATCATTTCATGTTTAGACACTACAACCTTAACCCATATCAATGATAGACATAGCCATAGAGAACAGTAGAAAATAAATTATATTAACCCAAAAAACTACTACCAAAATTCATCCACAAAACTCCAAAATCCAGACATAATATATAACTTACAACTCAATATGCAGGACCAGGACCAATACAAGACCACCAAACTCAAATCAAAACTCTTCCAGGACAAAATTACCACAATAATTGATTGTAATATGTATATGCACATCCTACTACTTTTCTCTCACTTTTTTCAACACCAAATGCATGCAGAAATGAATTTTTATATTATGAATAGAAACGAATAATGAGCAAACCAAGCGGATACGAAAACAACACCCTTTTAGGTGAGAAAAAGAGGTCTGAAACCTTTAGGAAGAAAGGATTGATTGAAGCGCAAGCTGTTGTTGAGGTTGTAAAGATGAAAAGGTTGATGCAAGCGCAGATGGCGGTAATGTTTGCTGAAGCTGCCTCAGCAGATTGATCATTCGGCCAACTGTTTGTTCAGATGCCAAATCTTTACCAGCAGAAAGAACCTAAACCAAGATCACCAAAATTAGAAAAATGCAGGATATGAGAAAGTCTCTTTACTCTTCCAAGTAGATGTCAGGTCAGATGTTTCATTTGGAGAGTATGAGAAACAAATTTTGAAAAGTGCAAAATGGGTACCTCTGCAAATACTGCAACTATCTTCGGAAGATACTGATGATTAAGCCCTAATAGTTCTCCATCAGATCTGCATGCATGAGCTCTCAGTTAATGAACAAACATCGTAAAAGAAAGAAATAATTCAAGAGGTCGAGTTCATATGTTGTAAGAAATGCTTTTTTAGACATTTTGGAGTCTACCTTTCCACCATTGAGCAAAGCTGATCATGTACAACTTTCGCCTCAATCAAGTCGCCTTTTATTGGCAGGCAGTTTAACCATGCAGGAACAATCTGACCAAATGGAACAGGATTGATATCTCATTAGAAAGCTCATTTTGCCGTCTACAAAAATTACACTTCACCAATGAATGTGCTCAGATGTAATTCTCTCTACGTAATGATTGCATTCTTGTATCATTTTATTGGTATAGATTGCCATCTAAAAGGGTTCAGAAAATGATCCTTAACAATAAAAACGTTTAAACAGATGAAGAAAGCGGTAACAATTTCATACATTCAAAGAATTAAACTAGTCAAAGAAGCAACCAACTATTCTATTATTAGAAACATGATTTGAAGCACTTGCCATAAAATACTTTCTTGTTTCTGGATGTTATACAAATCTATCTGTATACAAAGAGATGCTTAGATATATTACTTCATTCACACCAACCAAACATTCTATAATGACTTTGCTAGCTCATAATAGAATCAAGTTTGGTATTTAAAAACAGTGTACCAAAAAAATGGTTAAAATGTCAAAGCTAATCACAAGAACGTAATGCTAAGAAACAAAACTAACCACAAAATTACAAAGTAATGAGCAGCAGTTAAAGTTGACAATCCGTAATAACAGAACAGCCATTTTCTAAATATTTTATAACTTTCAGAGGGTGTTGAGCCTATTAATGTGGCATATATAAGATGGAGAAAGACTAAAGAAGTACCTGAGCAGCATTAATACTATCGCGATGGAATTGGCATATCTTGCCAAGAGCTGAAACAGCATTGTCATATGCCATTACGTTGTCTGGATGTAATGCATCAGGGCGTCTGATGACAGCATCCAATCTAGAAAGAGCCTCTGCAGAAGGCCAAAAAGTGCATTATTAATGGTCAAGAGAAACATATAATCAGAAGAAATACAACTACGCAACAAATACAAATACAAGCATAAAGAAAACCTACCACCAACGAATTGTCTGAATGCACCTCCCCCAAACTCCGCACATATGCCAACCCCATAAACAGCAGCCTGACAGGTACTAATATGTTTAGAATTAAATATCGAAAAACTGACAATGCAAGGTGTAAAATTACACATACCTGGCGGACATCGGTGCTTGAATCATTGCATGCTTCCAACAGGAATGGTAGAAAAGTATCATAATATCTGTAATAACAGAATGGATAAATAAAAAGAAAAAATCAATAATACCGAAGTAACCAAAGAAGGGAAGGCTTACTTTAGAGCTGCCTCTCGACAATGCTCAGCAACATCATCAAATATGCAAATGGCTATTCTTTTCTCCTCGGCTGTCACATCCTTGCCCTAAATTTACAGGTCCATAAGACAAAATGTTAATGCCATGCATATAAGCAGCGTCTGTATAGCAGCTAAAATGGAGAAGCATAAAAACTAGAAGATATGATAGAACTCACAAACATAGGCATCAAGTAAGGCAATAGTTCGTCAAAAAGAGGCAGAAATGGGCCCTTAAAGATCTTTAGTAGAGTGCCCAAACAATCACCAACCTAGGTTAATGGGAGAAAACATGATTAAAAGAACAATCAGGCATATACAGGACACAATTCAAAGAGTTACTCTTATTCATAACCGTGAACACTAAAGACATACTTGATCGAAAAGTTCATCCTCTTGCTCGTTTTCTTCCTTCAGCATTTCTCCCTCTTCTGCATCAAAGTCTTCTGCTTTGACTCTTTCTGCTCTTTCATTTCTTCTAGCTGAACTGGCCATAATTACCTGTTTCATCTCTTCCACAATGCTTCTAACTTGGCTTTCATCTAAAATGGGCCCACAAATCTGAAGCAAGAAAACTTAAACAGATCAAAAAGCAGAATACCTAGTGACCTATGCTGAGTGCAACTGATCCACCAGTCATTGGGGGAACTGCAGGAGAAAATTTGGTGTGGAAGCCGATAAAGGCCTGTATGAAATCTAACAATGTCACAGCATGCTTCATTATCTCTTAACCTAGCTATTTAGGCTCTTTAACCACTGTTGTAGCCCGCTACATGCATATCATATCTCAATACATGTAAGAAAATCAAGATCCATGAATCTCACAGAATAATAGCAACATATCGAAAATCAACCACAAAACGTCCTCCCATAACAAAAAATAATCCATGTGTAGATTGAGATGACAAAATAACAAGAAAGAATCGATAAATCCAAGCAATTATAGGAACAATAACAGAGATGGTTTGCAATAACTCAAGTTAAGCAATGGGACCATACGTATCCATACAATATTTCAGAGAAGAGAGATATTTTGAAATATTATTCTAGTCGAGTCCAATTAATCCATCAACTCACTACCTGATGCTAGCTAAAGATTCGATTCACACAAATCCCATGAATGTGTTGTTTTTTAAAATGGAAATGTAAGCACAGACATGGTTAGTTCAGGCCTCAGGGATCATTGGTCCCACACACATTTATCCAAATATAACCTACTTTAAGCCTTAATGACTACTCAATAGGAGAAAAAAACAACAAAAGATGCAGCACGATCAAAATCAGTCATGCTAAGCACATATTAGCAAGAGAGACCAAAAAATAATTGAAAGAGAAAGACATACAATGTTCTCATACAAGTGACGCACACATTTCAATGTATATTAAACTAGATGAAGCACACCTGTAAGCACTCATTTATAGCATCCAGCATACTTGAGCAAATTTCAGTCTCTGGTTCCTGAAAGCCAAATTTTCAGTAAATAATCAAAAGATCCACCTTTAAGAACAAACGGAGGTCATTGCCATGTAATAAAGATCACATATAGTACACAAACTATCCCCACAAAAAGGACCTAGTGAAAAGCATCTAACATAGCTGGTATAAGATAAAGGGGGAAAGAGCAATGTAAAAGACCTTGTGTAAAGCTTCTACTAAAGCTGGTATGATATAGTCAGATAACTGCTTTACGTAGGACTCGTTGCGGCCCTGGGATTGCCCCTTCTCAACAGCTAACTTTGCAGAACGAAGAAGCTCCGGCATAGCTAAATGTCAAAGAATAAAGTTAATGTTAAAAACAGGATATTTGATTAACATTTAGTTGCCCAAAATATTGTACCTGAAACTGCAGCCTTTCTAACTTCTTCATGAAAATAAAATTTAAGAAGTGGTACTAATGTTGGAGCAACCTGCATGAGTTTTGATCAAAGATGAGTCAATATTTTATAGAAAACATTGACAAAAAGATAGACAAACTAGGTAAAATATATTTCACCTGATCAATCCAGGGGAAAAACCCTTCCTTTAACTCATCAGCATAACAACATAGCATGTTGCATGCTGTAGCTTTCTCCTCAAGAACACTAGTCTTGATCCCTATTCTCTTATCTCCAAGCGTGATAGTCTCAATGCTGCAAATATGACGGGTCAATTATAAAGTGACTTACTTAGCTAAGATAACATTATAGTGCAATTTAATGGAAACAAAGGCAAAGCCTGTGCACTTGCGCACACACAAATAAAACCAGCAAGTGTGATACCAACCATTCAGAGTAAGTTCCTGGGTTGGGGATAGAAAGGAAGAAAAAAGGGAGTGAAAGGAACTCAAAAACTGAAACATTCATGTAGGACTCCAACACATCCAAAACCTATAAGGAGTAATAAGAAATTCAAGAACAGATAAACAATGTTTCTAATTAAATAAAGATGAGACCTTTCATCATCCGATTCATCAATATCAGCATCTGAATCAGCAGATGTAATGGTAACATCGGGTTTAAGCTGAGCAGAATGAAGCAAAGGTGGCATGACAACATTCATGTAAGGGAGGAAATCCTGCCCTAGGCATTTGCAGAGTCTTGCCCACGCCTGCAACACAAACGTACAACTATTAACTTCAAGGCAAGAGAATTATGTATTATAAGATAAAGTTGAATAACAAAAAGAAGCATACTTGCAACATGTAGCTTATTGTTGGATCATCCGTCTCTAGTTGGGAACCTTGCAGTAACATGAGAACATCCATAACCTTGAATCACATGATAAATTATTAGTCTCTATGAGAAAAATATCTGTAATCAAATATAAAATCTGGCTATCATAAGCAGCATCTTGAATATAGCTTTTTAGAACCAGATGTCCAGCGAATTAAATCTACCTGCTTTGTCTTGCACCAGAGTCATACCTTTTTGAACCAACAATTTTAATTTATCAGTGCATCTTATTAGCATGTAGAAACCAAAATATTCTGCAATGTACAAAACACTTGGTAGGACAAAGCAGGTTCATCGTATTGAACTCTGCTCCATGTCTGGCTTTTCATATGAAGATTATGAAAACACCAAATATTACAAAATATATCTATAAACTATATTAGACTTTGATCAAAACCATTGAGCTCCAGGAACCATATATCCAGCCAATGCAATCAAGGAGGCATTTAAAGAAACACACGAATTCCCCATGAGATACAAACATACAAGGTTTGCCAAGGGTAGATTCTAGAGGTAAGGAATTCCTTCACTCCAAACAAAAAGAAGATTATAATGTCATTTTTAAATCGACAGGATGGAAATGAAGGAAGAAGTATACCTGCTTCGCATCATCCTTGAACTTGTCTTTTCCAACAGCCATTCCAACCAAACTAATACACTCCATAGATTTGGCACGTAGCATGCGATTAGCTTTGTCCATTGCATTCACCAGTATAGTTTTCAAGTAAGGCATAACTGCATCATAATACTTTTGAAAATTCTCCTGCCAATCATATACTGTGTGAGAACCCAAGTTATAAGAAAATAAGCAAGTTAAGCAGAAGAATGAATTTGCCTAATACCTGAGAGGAGTCAGCAACTGATGCCAAAGCAGTCAAAGCCCCCTCCTGCACCATCTGCTTAGCATTCTGGATATACAACAGCAATTCAATATGTAGCCTCCATTAGATAACTTTGGCATGCCAATTCATTGAATCAGTTTTTTAAAAATGGGGAATGCAAATCATTTCCACAACTTGTTGCAATCAAGACAAAGGTATGAGTTTCGACTTCGTTAGGCAAGTAGACATAATGACATACCTGCAACAGAACAAGTAGTTTACCCACAATCCCATCCAAATAAGGCTTTAGAAGTTCTGGTGTGCAATTTTCACTGAAGTTCAGAACTGCTGAAGCAGCATGTGCCTGCAAAACATACATCCGATAATACATGCAGTGAGTCATTCTCCTGTGTAATAGAACATAAACACTTTTTTCCTCGGTAAAAAGATCAAATCTAGAACAGATAAACAACCAATGACATTGCCCCGTTTACACTACTTTTTTATCACTCTACTTGTTGGCAACAAGAATAGGGTTCTTGTCAGGCAAGCGTTAGTAAATTACTGTACCAGTCAGTCAGTCACCGACAACTTACGTTATCACTGGTCAGTTTAAGATGTCTTTTCAACAAATTACATAAACACTGATACTGTAAATCCCGGTATCCATCACTTGTGTGTTAATCTAAGAAAAAGGCAAAAGCTAAAAGGCAAAAAAAATCCAATGAATTGAATGATGAACTGAAGTAAAAGCACATGGATTCAGCTGAAGAAAAACATAAAACAATGAGGAGGCAGATGACATGAGAATTAAATGAGAAGGGGCACCATTAACAAGAGGGTAACATTTACAAAGAAAATATCATTCAAGCAGACAACACAATCGGTATTACAAGAAGGTATAGTAGATTATCCTATAATCACATTATGATGGCAAATTAATGCAATCAACAACTGCAAGATAAAAATGTATGATTAGTATAATCCCAACTCACCTGCACCCGCGGATTATGGAAATCATCCATTGCTGAAGCTAATGCTGGAAGCACAAGATGATGATACTGGTTTTGCAAGTCTGGGCCCAAGTCTGTAGACAGTTGCCCAATTGCATTGATAGCCGCCCACCTAACACGTGGGTGAGGATCTTGAAATGAGTTCAACACCATCGAGACAACTTGCTCTAAGGTCTTTGTCATAACCTGTACCAATAAAAAATAGAAAAAAGAAATCACATTAATAACACAATTATGGTTTCACTGAACAAAGTTGTGCTTCAGCTCTTCCACAAAATCAAACTTTACAAGAACTGCCTACAGCTGAAATTTACAAAAATGCGAATACAACAGTTAGAAGCATAGCTAATTCTAAATGTTAATCTTTCTGCAATAACAAAAAATGACCCTCAAAGTACTAAAAGACTTCAAAATAACGAGAATCAACTTCAATTTACTAAGAATATATTTCACCAACGAATTTCACTTTCATTAGGTTCTAATCCAAAACCAGAACAATAATCATTAAAAAGCAATACCTTTGAGCAACCTTCTGCAATTTGAGCTAATGCAATGAGTGCCGCATGGTGCTTTTGCCACTCTGGAGCAGCCAAATAGGCTGGCAAAATCTCAGAAATAACAGGAACAATGGTATTCCCACCCAATGAAATTGAAAGCCTGTCCAAGCATTCTTGACCAACACTGTAATTGCTAGTCTCACCCGCATCCTCATGTTCGACCTCAGCACTATACCAAGCAGGATCATCTTCAACATCCAACAACATCTTCATCAGTATCTCAAACAATCTCTTAATAAACTGCGGCAACTTCCTTATCATCCCTGGTGCTCTCTCCCTCGCTTCAGCCAAAGTAATAACAAACTCAACTGCCAAATGCTTAGTCCCTTCTTCTAAAGTCTCAGCCTCCGCAATTTGCAACATTGCCCCCACAACTTCGGCAATTTGCTTCCTTAAAAACCTGGGTTCGGTACCTGCCAACTCAATCAGCAATTCTAAAGCCTCCTGTGCCGTGGATTCCTCACCGGAGTTCAATGCTTCCGTCAATGTTTGCATCATCAAGGGTAACAAATCATGGAACTTGTCCCTATCGGAGGCTTTCTCCAAACACTGAATGAAATTGATTGAAGCACCTAATGCCGCAATTCTCACATCTGGATCTGTCCCTGTACCCAAACATCCTAGAAAAACAGCATGCAAGGTGTCCAAATGTGGAACCAATGTCTCCCCGATGTATTGAGCCAATTGTGCAAAAATCAACAAAGCACTTTCTCTATGCCTAGGATTTCCGGAAGTAACACACTGAAACATGAAAGGTAAAAGTTCCGGCCATCCGTTTTCAGGCAGAACCAACGATGCAAGCTCCGAAACAGTATCACATAGCTTTTTGGAGATTGATTTAGAGGACTCTCTACTCACAGACTCAAGCAGGGTGGATTTAAGGGTTAATTGGGTGGCAGGTGAGAGGGAAGGGTATAGCGTTTGCGATTGAGATTCATCGTCGGAGGAGATGGTGAGGATGCGACGCAGAAGAACGGCGGACATCGCACGTGCTTCAGCGTGAGGAGAAGAGTGAAGGAGTTGAGAGAGCTTGAGTACAAGGGTATCAGGATGATTCTGTTTACAGAGATTGAATAGGGTTTCGGCTTGTGAACGCTGCTCGTTGGCGGCGGACATGAGGTGAGAGATTAGGGTTTCAAAGTGAGAATTGTCAGGGCCGAGGACGGCGGCAACCTGAGCGAATTGAATTTCGGTGGGACGATTGATATCGGAAGACGCCATGGATGGATTGGTGGTGGTTATCCGGCGGCGGTTGCGTGAAATGGTGAGTGGCGTTTTTTGAAGAGATGGAGGGAAGAGGGTTTTAGGCTTCACCCTATAAGGGAGTGTTTGGACGCACGGATATTTAGTTTTTCTTGCTTTATAACAAATAAATATAAATAAAACACATTTTAAATATAAAAAAAAACAAATATTCTATTTTTTTATTTTTATAATTTTCAAAAGTTTTCCATGTATGGAGATTTGTAGATCTTATTTTCTTTATTTCATATTTATTATTTCTAAAATCTTTAAAATATCTGTTTTATAATATAAAAATTCTTAATTTTTCAAAAGTATTATAAAATATCGGAATATTTTTTTAATATTGATTAACATATATTTATTTTCACATGTATTTATTCCATGATGTGAACATTTTCAGCCCATTTGTGAAATAAAAGTTGCACGTAAAAAAGTTTTACATTGTGAAAAATATGTATGTTCATCAATACATTAAATATTAGTCTTAGACTATAAAAATACGAAAAAAATACATTAAATACTAGTCTTAGACTATAAAAATACGAAAAAAAATACATTAAGATAATCTTACATTTCTTCGATCAGATGAGATCATCTCATCTCAATATGAACTCAATGAAAATTAACAATCAGGATTTTTATAATAACCTCACTTTTCATTTTTATTTATTTTTTAAATGTAACTTAATGTATAAATTATTATATATATAAACGTATTATTAAAATAGTTTTTTTGTAAATATAGTTTACTGGTGCTCGCATAATATAGCGATATATATCTCAATTTTAATGTTTCGTTTTATTATTTATCTATGTCGATATAATTCGGTTTTTAGTGGTTTTGAGAAAGCGATATGTTTTTATTTTTGAATAAAATATAAATTTAAATATACCATAAAATTTTGGAGGAAAAAATATATATGTCGATATCAGTATCAAATTTACTATTTAAAATTTTGGTTTTTTGTTTAATTTATTTAATTCTATATTTTATTTGTAATTTAATTTAGATTTAGATTTAATAACCAAATAATTTATTTATCGTTTAATAGTATATTTTTTATAAAGATGGTAATTAAGTATTCAGTTATAACTAATAATTATCTTAATTATGTTTTAGATTTTTTATATTCAAAATGAGATGTCTATCACATATTTGATTATGTTTATCTATAGTTAGTTACACAAAATCATAAATAAAGTTTTAATAAGTTGTATTTACGCATAATTTACTTGTTATATTGAATTTTAAGTAATATATATCAACAAACAGTATTTTATGAATAAAAAATGGTTTTAAGAGTTTTTTGTCAAATGATTTATGTGAACATTATGTTCCATAACATAATAGATCAAAAACAATTATATTAAATCAGTACAAATCATAAATCAATCAAGCAATGGTCAATCAATACAGCCACCCATAAGGTTGAAGTTTATCTTGAAAGAAAAGCAATCGAGATTTGGGGATGAGAAGCAATCGAACTCCAGGGAAGTAAACCTAAACCGACAAAGAAACCATAAAGAATCGATATGTAATGAGTCAAAAAGAAAGAAGCAAAAATCGATACAAATCATAAATTAATCAAGAGCAACGGTCGAAACCCATGAAGTTGAAGCTTACCTTGAAAGAGAAGCAACCGAGCTTTCGGGAAGGGAACTTGACGGTGATTATAAAAAATATTGAGTCAAAACCACCCATTAAATATGAAATCAACAATGGCTATCTATTCTTTCAAAAAGAGATATTATAGGGACGTTAATTGGATTAGAGAGATTGTAGGGACGAATTAAGATTTCAATGGAAATGGTATGCTTTAAAAACATGTATGTATGCATAATTAACTGGTATTTTTGATTTTTAAGTAATGTACACAAATTAATTTTACCTTATTCATAGTAATTTGTCTTTAAGAAAATGAGCCAAATGCTTTATAATATACTAGAAGATAATCGCGCAATGTAGCGAGATACATTTTAATATTTCATTTTATTATTTATCTCAGTCGATTTTATAATACGATCTTATGTGATTTTGAACAAAATATAAATTTGAATATATCATAAAAATTTGACAAAAATATATTAATATTAGTATCAAATTAACTACTTAAATTTTCTTATATTTTGTGTAATTTTTAATTCAATTTTTTTAATTATAATTTAATTTAGCTTCAATAACGAAGTAATTTATATTTGGTTTAATAATATAATTTTCTTAGAACTTGATAACTATCCTAATTATTTTTTTATATTTTAAAATGAGATGTTTATCCTCTATTTGATTATGTTTATTCGTAGTTAGTTACACGAATTCAAGCATTGAGCTGTAATAAGTTGTACTTATACATAATGTACTTGTAATATTGAATTTTAAGTAATATGTATCAATATAAAGTACTTTATGCATAAAAAATGATTTTTAAGAGTTTTTATCAAATGTTTTATAATATGATATAAAAGTATATATAGTTTTTTTTTTTTTTTAAATATAGTTTACTGATTTTCACTTTTTCATATTGATTTAATTTGTTAATTTATATACTTCAATGACATTTTTTAAAACATAATCAGTTTATATTTTTCTAATATAAATTTGTATATTTTTTAATTATATTTTATAAATATATGTTATAAATTTATTAATAGATAAATTTATAAATAAGATGATTGACGTTTTTCCTTGTATGTTTCTCTTCCTTTTTAATTTCAAAGTAGTTATTTATCTTTACTAATTTGATCAAACATATATAAGAAGTTAGAGATTATTTTGAAAAGTGGTAAATATTTGAGAAGTAAAAAGTGATCTATCCCTTCATACAATAAAGATCGGATTCAACTAGTCAAGGATTACAGTTTTGACTGGTCAAGATTTATAAAAAATAGAGAGAGTAGTTTTTGTAACTTTTATAAATAGACGGCAAACGGGTTTATATGTGTGTCTTTGTGATTCTCATATGAGTCATATGTTCATATGTGAACCCGTGTAATTCACATAATTAATTAATTGATTCATATATAACCCCTTTATGATTCACATATGAATAAATTAATTGATTCGTATATGAACATTTATGATTTACATATTAACTAATTAATTGATTCACATATACACTATATGTTCATATGTGAATCTTTAATTAATTCACATGTAAACTCATTTGCAGCTTATTTGTAGAAGTTACGAAACTATCATCTATCGAAAATTTATATGGTTCTTAACTCTTTATTTGGTCAACATTTGTGTTTGGACTGTGAAACACCGAATAATTACTCGCATGCGTATGCGGAAAATAGAAGGATAATTCCGTAACTTTTACAAATAGACGACAAATTGGTTTATATGTGAATTCGAAAATTAGTTCATATATAAATCACAGAGGTTCATATATGAATGAATTAATTAAAATAGTTTATATGTCAATTACACAAGTTCACATATAAACATATAGTTCAAATGTGAATCATATAGGTTCATATGTGAATCTGTCTGCTGCCTATTTGTGAAAGTTACGAAACTACCTTCTCTATTTTTTTTGCATAGCCGCAATTTTTGATTGGTTAAAATCGTAATTGTTAACCAATCAAAACTGCAATTATTGAACAGTTAAATCCGATATGCACCATATAAAGGGTTAGAATCATTTTTTTGCTTCTCAAATATTTACCACTTTTCAAAATAACATTCGGATATATATATATATATATATATATATATATATATATATATATATATCTTATCATCTAACATACATATCGTGCATATAAGGTAAACACATCATGCCCATAAGGTGAACACGTTGTGAACATGATGAAAACAAATTAATAAAAAAAATCAGTAGAGTGTTCACAAGGTTCTCATTGTGTTCATAAGTGATACAATTCAGATTAGTTTTATTGATATAATTTTTGTTCACAAATTATACAAGATATTTTTGTCATTTTACATGTTCATCAGCTAGTTTTTATCGAATATGATTTATTCATCAGTTAGCTTAGTTACCAGCTACCTTATTAATTATTAGTTAGCATATCAATTAACAACTAACTTATCTGTTACTCTGTCAAACATAGCTTAAAATAGACAATTTCTAACAACAAATCAATTTTTAAAAGTATGTTTTCAAGAATATAAATTACATAAAGATATATTTCATTATTTATACAAATTTATCTGTACTATCTTATAAACCAGATTTATCATTAAAAACAATTTTTAATGCACAAAGTACTATACATTTATGCACAAAGTCTTAAAAATCTTAAAAACAATTCATAATGCATTAAGTACTATTATTTTATGCATTCAATCTTAAAATATATTACTCTACAATTAAAATAACATATAGTACAAGTTACTAATGCACATTGTTACATTTTCTTTTCATGTTCCCAATATACTTTTGACACATTTTACTCATGTCTTCACCCTCTCATACTTCTATGTGTTCTCCTCATTCCCCAAGATGAGATTCAAACTCATATTCACCATGAGTTATTAAAAGTTATCTCATTCGATTGTTCTAAACTCTCAGTCTCGCTCTCACTCTTTTGATTCTTTGCTCTTGGTGTAAATCGAACACATTTGTGGAATCGTTAAAATATGTTGGATTTTAAACTGTCATACAATTTTTTTCCATCGATAGACTGTAATTGGAATCATAACTCTTATTTATTCAAATTGTATTAATATGTAAAGACCAAGTGTAACTTATATCATCGTTAAATCGTTTCTAATAAAACCAGTGAAACTTCAAAATCATTAAAATTCACGGCTTCTGCCGCATTGCTCAAATACACAACTAGTTAAATAATAAATGAAGTAATTATTAGTTTATTTACGAATTAACAATCGATGGAAGGGACATATGAAGAAAAAGGTGTTTATATTTAAAGCATGATGGAAGAATAATAATTTCCCATGTTTTTAATCCCACTTGAGTTTAAGTAATGATTATGATTTTCTTAATTACTTAATTAATTAATCCCTCTACCCAACAAAAAATAATACAAACCGGGTCGGCCGACATTACAGAGAACTTGTGCAAAAATTTAAATATGATTTTGTATTTTTGTAAATATATTATTTTATTATATCGACCATAAATAAAATCTTAATTTGTTACATAAAAAAAATCAAATTAGTTCTAAAAATCCTACAAGAAGTATCTGGTGATAACATTACATATATAGAGAACCTTTTACATTTGTACAACTAATACAATTCAATCTCAACAGTCCATTTAATTTGATGAATATGTAATTTCATATAAGTTTTGATTGTTTTCTAATATAAAGTATTGATCATAATTAATAAACCTTATTCATTTTTCATAAAATATTAAAATAATAATAAATGAACTTTCATCAATTTTATAAATATTTTAATTTATTAGGTTATCATTGTCTATGAGATAAATAGTTTATATAGTAAAACATTAATTTATAATATGTTATATTCAAACTTTACAAATGTTTTATTAATTTTTTATATATCATATGTGTAAGGTTTCAATACAAATGAGCATCTTACATGGTCATTTTTATATCATATGTATGTGTGTGTATGAAATATTGGTGGTGGTTTAATGAGGATGGGAAGGAGGGAAATAAGGAGATGTATGTATGTATGTATATATGTATGTATGTATGTATGTTGGAAGGTTAATGGGTCCATGATGGGATGGAAATGGGACCCAATTGCTTGAGATCTATTGGTGCCCCTTGCATCATTATCACCCTTCCTTTTGACTCATTCCACCCTGTCTTTTTTTTCTTTCTCAATTTATTTTCATACCACTTTTATGATATTATTATTATCTTCATATGTTTGGCCAACCACACCACTTACAATAATAAAAATTAAAACACATAATATATAAAAATATTATATTATAAAATATTTTAAAAATTATTTTTTATACATAAAATACTATTTATTAATACATATTACTTAAAATTTAAGATCACACATAAATTGTATATAAGTATAATTTATTAAAGCTTCATTTTTAAATTTGTGTAACTAACTATAGATAAGCATAATTAATACAAGATAAACATTTCATTTTGAATATAAAAAATCTAAAACATAATTAGAATAATCATTAATTATAATAAAATACTTAATTATCATTTTTATATAAAAAATATTATTAAACGATAAATAAATTACTTCGTTATTGAATTATAAATAAAATATTAAATTAAAGAAATTATATAAAAAACGAGAAGTTTAAGTAGTGAGTTTAATATATATATTTTTTCCAATTTTTTTATAATATTTTTAAATTTATATTTTATTAAAAAATAAAAACATTATGACATTCTCAAAACCACCAAAAACCGTATTATATCGACGAAGATAAATAATAAAATAAAACATTAAAATTAAAATATATCTTGCTATATCTTCCCACCAGCCTTCTATTACATAATAGGGGTGTGTCACCATTTGGGCAATTTCTAGATTCAAGTCTCCATGATACCATCAAAGCTTCATAAATATACAAAGGAATTCAAACAGACAGATAGAATCAATCAAAACATGAAATGTACGGCTCGAATTTCCAACACCAAAAAAACATTCAAGAATCTATTCAAAACATAATAAATAAGTATCATTGCCAACTGTTTTCAAAACACAATAAATAAGTATCATTGCCAACTGTTTTCAAAACATAGCTACCAAAAAAACCACATGAGATGCTTTCCTCAACGGTTAGCCTTTGCAACCCTTTCGATCTCATCCTTCTTCTTAATAGCATAGCTGCAACCACAACAATCAAAACACCACCACCACCACTCAGAATTTGACAACAGAAGCACATGGATTGAATTACATAAACGAATCACATAATTAGGAATGTAGTTGAAGCTACCTGTTTGAGGAGCCCTTGGCAGCATTGATGAGCTCATCAGCAAGGCATTCAGCAATTGTCTTGACATTTCTGAATGCACTCTCACGAGCACCGGTCGTGAGAAGATAGATGGCCTGGTTCACACGTCTTAGAGGAGAAATATCAACCGCCTGACGCCTAACGACACCAGCAGAACCAATTCTGGTTGCATCTTCTCTTGGTCCACTGTTTATGCCCACAAAATATGACCACCCACTGTCAGTTATAATCACCAACTAACCTAAACCAGATATGAAAACCAAATAACAAATTTCACAACTCTTGGCATCAATCATTGGGAATACCAAATCCCATTATTTCATCAGAATGTACAATTTTTCTCACACAAGAATCATGTGTCTAAATAAGAAAGCATATTATACACGATAAAGGACAATGAAAGTTGATGAAAGATATAACATGGTCCCAAGATTATATACCTGTTGATAACAGCATCGACAATAATTTGAATGGGATTAGCATCGGTTAATAGGTGGATGATCTCCATTGCATGTTTGACTATGCGAACAGCCATCAGTTTCTTACCGTTGTTCCTCCCATGCATCATAAGGGAGTTGGTCAAGCGCTCGACAACTGGGCACTGGGCCTTCCTAAATCTCCTCGCTTGGTACCTTCCCGCCGTATGAGGCATATATATTGGGTGTTTGGAAGCAGTGGCGGTTATGTAATCCTCCACAGAGAGGTCAGGGACCTGTATATTAAAACAGAATACTATCAAAGCTATGCCATTTGAAAAAGAAAATGTTGGTTTAAGACAGTTAAATTGCTTTGTAAGCCAGTTATAAGTTATCAACAAAAATCCTTATCCCATCTATCTTATTAGTTATTACTTATTACAAATACATATTGACAAACAGTTCTTTATAGTTGATTGTGTAGCGTATACCAGCTTAACACACAACACAAAAATAGGAGGCTATTCTATTGTCAATCATACAACAATTACTCAATCTTTTTTCTTCTTTGTATTCATAATTCAAGAACTCACGTTATTTGTAACTTCTAAGTTGTAACTTCAACCAAATAAGAAATTAAAAGAAGTTCCTTTCACTGGTAGACTATTCCAATAAAATGGAAATGGATCTGGTTCCTATATTTCTTTCTTAGTGATCACCAATTCCTGTGAAAGAATGAATAGATGGATCATGTCTCTTCCTTTATAATGATGATAAATCTCTTCCATATAATAAGAAAATTTTAAAAAAAATGTCCATGTTTATTTTCAGAATACAATGACTTGATATTAATGCTTTAGAAACTATTTAAGATATTCTAAGATATAATATTTTAAACCATAAAAATTAAAATCAACCTAACCATGTCATCCAACCTCAGGCGGATGAACATTATGAGCAAAACATAGATTATCTCCAAGAAAAGTAATAGAAGTCTGAAATTCTGAACACCAGAATTTCATTTGGCAATCATCTGCTCAATCTTTTTTATCGTGTTTTATGAATTTCATAAGTAGTTAAAAAAGTTCTCATTGACTTGAAGCAAAGATAATTCTACAGCATGGTTTTCAAAATCGTTTGAGGCGTATGCCTCGAGGCGAGGCGGTCCAAAACCGCTCATGAGGCGGCACCTCATGGTCCCTGGACGAGGCTTAAGCCTCAATTGGTGAGGCAGTGCCTTGAGGCGTTGAGGCATGATGTGTTTCTGAGGCGCACGCCTCAGTTTGCTGCTGCCTTGATTCGTTGAAAATAGGTGCCTGATGAGGTGAGAATAAAAAATTACTTAATTTTTTTAAAGTAAAGTCAAACACTCAATTGAACTTTCATAATTTAAAAGTACAAAGAAGCCTTCTATAGTATGTACTTTTATCTTATCAATCAAAAACAAATGCAAGCTTTCCATTTCCTAATCCTACTGTTGTCTTCTCCTCCTACTTTCTTTCAGATTTTCTTCTCCTCCTTTCTTCTCCACCGAGAATACCTCTCCAAACCCCATCTTTTTCCTTCTCCATTTCTTACTTTTTCTTCTCAAGAAGATTTTCATCTCAAAGGCCAACCCAAAAAGTCAGTTCTTTTTAGTTTGTGATAGAAATTATGGATACTATTGTGGAGCTATACAACTTGATCATGCTACGGGGAACAATAAGTTATAGATTGATATGCTTTTAGACTTATAACTAGTAATTTTATGAATCTATGACCGAGTTTGGTATGGAATTATGTTTTGCTTACTATTAATATTTATGAATTTTATTTGTTTGAGCCTCAGGGCGTGGAAGAAAAATGCCTTGAGTCCCGATTCCGCTTTTTAAAACCTTGTTCTACAGAATAGCTTTAATTCCAAACTCTCTAAGAATGCATCCACTCTCAGTTCACAAAAGATTGAAAATTAGTTTCCAAATTTAACCAACCATAATTTACTTCCTAATACTAAACCAATTCAACAAGCAAGGTCCACACCCTAACACTTCACAGATTTGACAACCATACTACGCTCTGTTAAAACTTTACAAGCATTGTTCCCTTGCCAACACTTAACCAAGCATAGCTCACTTCCAAACACTTCAAAATTTCAGACATAATTACATTCAACAGAATACAGTTCAGTTTCATGAATTTAACCAACAAGTTTTGACTTTCTAAGCAGGCATACTGTACTTCCAAAACACTTCACAAATTTAACTTTAGAATTGAAAAAATATGTGATGGTTTGGACACGTTTGTAGGGACAAATGTTGGCACTGGCGAGAAGGGTCAATAGCATAAAGATAAAGGGAGTGAGGAGGGGCAGGCCAAAAATAACGTGGGATGAACAGCTGAGACTGGACATAACAACTTTCGGACATTCCCAAAAGACATTATCTCAGATAGGAGTTCCTGAAGACACATTTGCAGGGTAGCTTATTGTGTAAGGATGTGTAGTTATTGTGGACAGAGGAGGGGTTTGGAAGAGTAGAGGATGAGGGAGGGTTAAGGGCTAAGAGATAGGTATCAAAGTCCTATGATAGGTTGGAGGACTCTCTGGAGGTAGTCAGGAGTAGTTTTGTGCGAGTTTTCAGAACAAGATCTTTTTCCTGACTTATTCTATTGTTTTACACTTTTACCACACTCAGTCTTTATGTCATTTAACTGTTTGTACCTCTCATTAGGCTTTCAATGTACTTACTTGATTTAGTCTTCTTTTATGCTGTTTAATGTGCTTACTTGCTCAACTTTTCCAACCTTTCTTCCACTCCCAAGATTGTCTCAAGGTCTTCATCACTAGCTAAAACTTAATTTCTTGCAATTTTTCAACATGCTTTCAGGGTCTTCACATAAACAGCTTCTCTACTCCATGAGGTGAAGGAAAGATATCGGTACAACTTACCCTCCCCAAACCCAACTCCATGTCAATTTACCAGGTTCCATTGGTTTGATTTATAGTTCGTAAACTTTGCAAACTTAATGAAGTTCATTTCCTAACACTTCAAAATAAGCATATGAATATAAATGCCAAATAATTGACTTCCTAACAATTTATGATTCTCACTGAGGCATATTTTTAATACAGATAATTTCTTTGACTGGTCCTTGGAGATAATCTATAGCTGTAAATTCTAAGCTTTATCTGTTGTATCTTCATGCTTTATCTTCCACATATGTAGCCTTGCTATTTCACTTCCAAAAAGGCAAAAACCTTTCACATTCAAAAGGGCATGACCAGCATTCTAACACCTCAGATGTAATGCAGCAAGCATGTTTCACGTCCTGATACTTCACAGATTTAGCCATGTATGGTTCACTTCATAAAACTTAACAAAAATAAGCACTTACTATCAACATTTCAAGCTCCTGAATCATAATATCACCTTCATTATTTCCAACAATTCGATGATTCATATAACTCCAAAAATAGACTAATCATATATGAGAGCCACTTACTAAAAACATAAACCCAGTTTTCTAAAATTCAAACTAAACAGTAAACACCAACAGAAAGTAACTTCCTCAGAGAGCCAATTCTCATCATTTATTAATTCAGCAATTTCCTTGATCAGTTCATGGGTCCCACGACATCAGGATTCCTAGGTGAAATCCTTGACAAAAGGATAACATCCATTTTAAGACCTAATCTATTTATATGTTAATTCCATCCAAATTGGCCAATAATTATCCAATTTCCACGAATTCCTCGACCAAACTCTGCTCCTGCCCCGCTGAGGAACAAGAAGCTAAGTTCCAACTCCATACTCTGTATCCTCCTCTCTCTAATTAACGAGAGATTCATTTCAATCATCAGCTCTTCAAATCCCTTGAAAGGTGCAAGTACAAGGATTTTAAAGGGCAGTATCACGAGCTCAAAGTTTGAGGTTGTTAGAATGCATGTTTGCTAACAAAGATGAAGCAAACATACATGAAATAACACCGGGCTCTAAAGATACCAACCTGAACATCATCATAAGTCCACCGGTTGAAGAGCAATACATCACTGCGACTCTTTCCATCTTCAGCAACAGGAGCAGCGACTTCCATTTTTGCAGTTCTCTATTAAACTGTCAACAGATCATTTCAACATTATTTTTTTTACTACAAACAGTGAAGAATACGAAGCTTAAATTCAGCGAATAAAAAATTGATGAACATATTTTCAGAAGCTGATAGATCAAGACAGCAAATAGTTCACTAACCTCCCACCAAGTCTCCGTGGAAAATGCGGGCAAAAACTGCTACTGCCAACTGCTAAAGCTCCGCCTTCAGACGAGGACGACGAAAAAACCCTACCGAGTTCTTATAGCATAAAGGGCCAGGGCTTCCTTTTGGGCTTTAGGTCATGGGCTAGCTTTTAAAAGCCCATAAAAGTTATAGAAAAAGCTTTTAAACGAGAGCGAGTTAAGGTTACGGGTTTTCGATCATCATCAATCGTTTGAATTTAACCCGTAACAATTGTTTTTAAAAGTGACTTAATTTATACTTCGTCACGTATTATGACAAATTGTCTACATAAGTTTCTTACCGTTCATCCATGAAAAGGACGAAGCATGTTCACATGACAAATGGTTGTCATTACTGCCTTTAGTATTTCCGTGCGACGATTTTGAAGTTTGGACTAGAGATAATGTATACATTTCGTATTGGTTTAGGTTCTCTTTCGTGGGTCATCTTAGTTTAGGAGTGCTGCTTGTTCTTTATAATGGTTGATGGTTCAATTATTCGTGTAAAGTGTTTGGTTGTGATTAGAGAGATGCACAAGGCCTAGAATTTTCGAGTCCGAGTTCGGTCGTGCACTTTCCAAGCCCATTTTTAGTAAACATAAGAAAGTGTGAGCTTTTTTAGGCCCACGCCTAGGATTTGGTGATGAAAATAGGCTTGATTATCCCTTTTCACACCTTTTTTTTTGGGCTTGACCAACCTTTTTGGGGACGGTCTTTTAAGCTTTGGGCCTGTCTAAGCTTTAAAAAAGGCATGAACGAGCTTTAGTAGGCCTGAGCTGGGTTGGGCGGGCTTTTTGCTTGCGTTTTTTGTTCATCTTTGGTTGTGATCCATTCGATATTATTATTATTAAAATATGAATTTCGAGATTTATTTAATTAGTTAGTTGCCAAATTGGAAATATTAAGCTCTCAGTATGAGTCGTTAACCCCATTGGGTTCCATGGTCTAAAATAATGTTAGACTAAGTAGTTTCGTTTTTCAGAAGTCTGGGCCACTTCCCTTGTGGCCAAAATCGCATGAGTCGTCCAACCCTTTAAGTCGCAAATCTTGTCAGAAACGATTTGGGAAATTGCCGGAACATGGTGCAACAAAGTCAGAAACTTGGGTGACCTAACCCACGACTTAGGTCGCGGGATGCCCCTAGAAGATCTTTTAAGCTCGATTTTTAAGGGTTTTCACCCATTTCTTCCACCATGTTCCCGTCCCCTGCCTCTTGGCGATTTGGCATTTTAGGGATGCTTTTGGGACGTTTTTGGAGTAAATTGAGAAGAGAACTTTGGAGATTGAAAGTTGATGATGGATGGTCTCAAGATTTTTGAAGAGGTAAGCTTTTGAGTATTTTGAGTTACATTTGTGGGTATTATGAAGTTGAAACTTGTAACCATATTTGTGGTTTTTCTAGGTTACGGTGTAAACGAGATGAGGTTTCTAGAGTTGTTTGATTGTGGATCTCAAGTCTCCATTTCCGAAGCTAAAGGTTTGGATTTGGAAACTAGGTTTTACCTAACCTAGCAATGTGAGTTTCAAGTTTGCTTTGTGAAAAAATTTGCATGTCAAAAATGTCTATTTTGATGTATTGAAGTGTTTTCCTTGATATTTATCAAATGTGTTGATTATTTGTTGAAATTCGCATCTTTGGTACATTTGATTTTATAAATCTTGAAAAATGACTGTGTTGTGAGGAAAACTTGAGTTGAGTTAGACACCGGGACCGTGATCTTACAGTACTACTTGATAACGTTGATATTTGACTTACTTTGTGTTTCGCCACAATCGATGGAAACGTGATTTCCCCCATCACCGAAAGGTATTGTTTTAGATATAGAGTTTATTCAAGATTTTGGTATAGAGTTTATCCAAAATTTATGGTTTTGAATATTAAACCTTATTTATGTTTGGATTTTTTTGGGTAATAAAGTTTTATCCATATTTCCGGTATTTGATTATTAACCTTATTCACGTTTTGTGTGAGTATTGAGTTTTGGTTTCATGTTTTAACTGGTGTTTTGGTCACCGAGTTTGCATCACGAAAATAGTAGGTTTTGGGAAAGACTTGCTCTTATGTTAAATACATTTCATTTAGGAAATTGTAATTTAAATAACATTCTTCAGTTTTACCATTTTATACTAAAAATGAAAACTGCTTGAACTCACTAGGCGTTAAACTAACACTTTTTTTTTATCGGCATGTGCATCAGATCCTCGTTGTAGAATGATACTATGAAAAGTTGAGTACAAGTTGAGGCACAAGAAGAATTTAGCTATTCAGAACTGCCTTTTGTATTTTGACAATAGCCTCTGTTATTGGCAAAAGTAACAACCGTTGATAATCTAGACTTTGTGTAAGGTTTGAGTTACAGATTGTTGTTGATGTTAAATCTTAAATTAACATTATAAGTAATCAATTATTGACTTTTGGAATGAAATTTATCATTTAATTGATATGTTATAAAAAATTTAAATCAGTCGCTCTTTTTCCCATATTTTAGGCTCTTACACTCGTCAATGTATTTGATTCAGAAGCAACAGTACACTCATTCAGTTTGACGTGAAATATCGCTACACAAGTCCATCGAAGAAAATCTTTCAAGTTTGTGTGTATTAATTGCATTGAAATCTCAATCTGTTAGTTTTGAAATGCAATGTACATCTCAGCCTCTCGGTATAGTTTATCTTGTTTCCAAAAACGAGCTTTTTGAAAACAACTGTATCTTTGTTTATGGTTCTTTGAGATCCTGTTAATACAAAAATATAATTTTTTAACGGAGAAGTTGCCGATTTTCGTACTTTTGGAAGAAATTGGAATTATCATAAAAGAGTATTTTGATCATTGGGTTTTGATGAGAATAAGAGTTAAATGAGAAGCGTAAGAAGAGATCACCACCTTAGGATGTGATATATCGAGATACACCGGATCAATCCCCATTTCAAACGTTATTCATGGGTGAACTTGGGATTAAAGATGATCAAAGATCCAGATCTTTTTTTTACGTTTCTCATCTTAACTCTCCTCACACGATCCTTCTACTTTGATCGTTTCATATTATTATTTTAAAGCTACATGATACAAAATCTTAATCTTGAAGTTACATGATACGACAGACGAATTCTATTTAAACAAATTAACGAGTCGTTTACTAAACTCTTACTAGGTAAACACTTTTAGGGTGTCACTTACCTTATTCTTACCCAGTAAGAGCCATAACAAGGACCCAATTTTACCCAGTAAATGAGGGAGAAAATCCGTACACGATAAACACTTACCAGGTAAATGACGTTTACCGATAATCTATTATGATGGTCAAGAAAATTACTCCGTTAGAGCGATAGACTCTTACAGATAAATGCTAACTTGATAAACGTTTACCCATTTTTATTTCAAATTCCAACCGAGTAACATAACATTACAAAGAATTCCATCCGTCTTAAAAAAAAAATTTAAATAAAACAGTTGGAGCTTCTAAAATTTCTTGAAAACTCCATCTAATTTCAAGATTCATGGTGATGCAATTTTTTGGCAGCACCAACAGAATATTACAAAAAAGAATCCTGCAATCTTTACTTCCCCTTTTCTAGAAACCCAGTCCAGTTTCAGGATTTCCTGAAACTGGTCTTGATTTCTAAACTAATTTTTCGAAAAAAGTGGGCTTTTTTCGGGCTTTTTCTTGGCCGGACTACTTGTTTCTAGATGCATACCGAAACCAAATCTTCGAGGGGATGTGGAAGTACTTTTAGGCGACAAACACATTTCTTCCATTGCTCGGGCTTGTAGCTCCAATGGGTAATCCCGAACACATCCAATACGGGGCCCGGCTCCCGTCGTCCATCGACAACTAAGTTGCTTAGCCAACTGAAATGACTTATTTTCTTTATGTGAATTTATCCGCTGCATGATCTTCTCCTTTGGGACGGATTTGTTATAGGCTTCATCTTCTTCACCATAATCGAATAGGTTCCTTTTGGAAACCATAAGTTCGATATCAGAGAAAAACTCCTCTGCTGTATCGTAATCGGAGGCACTGTCAGAGTTGGAGTCAGAATCAGAGTCAGATTCAGGTTCAGATTCGGGTTCAGATTCTAGAGCTTTTTGCTGAAAAGCCAGTATAATGCTTTCATTTTTGGGGATTTCAAGTGTAGTTATCCTCGCCTTCAGATCACGTGTCATTTGCAGGCGATTGCTATATCGATCCTTTCTTGATTTAGAGTTCTTCCGATGGTAGCTTTTGGTAGTCGTTGCTATCGTACCTTGAAAGATAGTGGGTTCTGATACGCTGTTTCGCATCCCGAATCCAGCCACTTCATTAGGAAATTCTTCCTCATCATCTGGGCTTTTCTGCAAGATCATGGAATAGAAAAAAGTGAGCTAAATCCGCTTAATGAGCTTAATAGGACTCACAGCTTATTCAGTCAGCTATACATGACTGTTTGGTATTAGCTTAATAATATAGAAAGTCGCATATTCGGTAAGCTTCTAGGGGAGCTTTATGCAGAAAGCCAGGGCTTTATTTTTCCAAACTTTCCCCTCCCAATTCAAAAACACGCACCTTCCATCTATGAACCAAACAAAAACCTTCCTTATCTATACAGACATATTAATCCACAACAACTTTATCTAATGAAAACCAACCAAACGACTCCATTTTTACACAGAGCAAGCTCTTTTAATACTAGAGGCAGAGCGGTTAACATCAGAGGCATGCGATTTGAAGGTTATCGAGTTAATTTAAGGTCATTTAACCAAAGGACCAAAATATTAGTCTGCTTAGTTGTTGTACCTTGACGGCATGGAGATCGACATTGTGCTGCTCAAGGAATGATAAAAAAGCATCAAAATTTTCTTCGGTCGGGAGATAATGTCCGCTGTGAGGCCAAATAGCCTGTCAAGTTTTAGATATATATGTTAGTCACTGCAAGATTACATTCAACGGTTAATTTTTCAAACGACTGAGTTTCAGGTTTTAATAATGTAAGCACCTTAAGAGTACCATCTACGATCACCAATCGTCCAGCAGATATCGTAGCTCCGCCTGCTAGAAAACTTGAATGTTGAAATTTGCCTTTCTGTTTCGTCCCGATATACAAAACCATTGACGTGCTAAGCACGAATATCCACTTGGCGTCATCCGGTCCACCAGTTGTATCAATCACCGTCTTGCTTAGCTTGTACATGAATTTTCCGTCTTCCACTATAACTTCATAAGCCTCCCTTTCGATCTGGAAACCAAAAGAAACAAGTTTGAGTATCCTATTCCGCAAAAAGGGTATGACGCCCCCTCTGGAGCTCCGGGTTATTCAGCGAAATGACATCCGGTTTTCAAATACATGAACTTATGACAGGTTTTTAGGTATTCTTTTGTTTGGTGTCATTCTAAAACTAGTCATGGCTTTAACCCGCCATAAGATCATTTAATCAAAGGACCCTCGGAGTTCGCCCACCATGCTAGTCTCACAACCATCATGAGATGGACCCGGGCCCGACCCGAAAAAGCATGTGCCTAGCAAGCCCGAAGTCCTGACCAGGCCTAAAAGCCCGATCGAGCAGCGTTCTTTTCCAATAGCCCATAAATCCCAGTCTGCAAAAACCCAATTGAGCCTATTTTGACACCCTAAGCATGTTCCCGGAAAAGACCGGGCTCTTTCTTTGCTTACTAAAATCAGGCTTGAAAGGCTTGGGCCTGAAAAAGCCCAGTGGGGTCTATTTTTCACGGACAAAGCCCGGACCTGACAAAGCATGGGCTCTTTTTTTGCTTCATAAACGAGGTTGCAAGTCTGGGTCCGGGCCTGAAACAGCCCGGGCCTTGTGACTGGTGCCTGGAATTAAACCCCTGACCTCCTTACTCAGTTGTGCTAAAGCCATGGGAACAAAAACAAGTAGGATAAATACACCCATATGTACAAATTTTATAAAACTTACAGGTCCGAGATACTTGATGCATTGTTGCTGAAGCTTTAGTCGTGGGCATCGTTCAAGATTCACCTCTTTCCCTTCCCCAATGTCGAGCCTGAGATATAGTATCAGCAGTTAGAACTTTGGTCACGTTCATATGTTTCGAGCACGCTTTTATCATTCATCAAGGTAAGTTTAATCTTACCAGTAGAAAAAGGGCTGTCTACTCTCGCAATGAAGCCATTTGGCATAATAAAATTGAAGATTATGACCGTAGCGATGTCGAGGATCAATCTGTTTGGATAAAAAGGGGATATATTAGAGTTTGATACATAAACTTAACAAGAAACATGAAATGAAAGACAATCTAATCATAGAGTGAAGACTTACAGCCTCGAGCCAATGTTGTAAGGCAAGTTTACGTGCCTTTTCGTTTTTTGACAAGCCTTTACCAACCTGCCATTTGAGAGATAAATATACATGTTTAGAGAAACAAAAACAACCGATTTAACCCCTTCCGAGTGGGATCTATTAGCTCCTTACGTTATGCATCTATTTCTTGAAAAAATGGGTACCTTAGCCGCTCGGGTTCTTGCTCTTGACCAACGCGAAACAGCAGTTTCTGGTTTCTCCACTTCAAAGAATGATACCGAGCTGCATTTCAGCACAGCAAAATCTAACAGCTTCCACCTGTGATGGATAGTTGCTTAGAAAAATGTATCATACAAAATCTAAAACCATAAAACATTACACAACTTCGGGTGCTTTTGAACTCATCCTCTATGCATAAACAGTGAAACGAATCCATGCAAACTTCCATTAACAAATCAAAGAATACTAACCAGCTTTGCTCCACCAAAACTGCACAATCAGCTAGCTGTCTTCTGGTTCTGAAACTTTTATATGTTTTCTGTAGCTTCACTGCAGCCAGATCAGGGTTCATGAGTGGCTTTGGTGATTCAACCCTCTTTGCTTCAGGACTTGCTGCAGGTGTGTAGTATTCTTCGTTAGAAGAACGTTTTAAGGAAGAAACTCTGTTGATTTCCCTCCCATTAAAGCTTAGAGACCCTCCAATCATCCCACTTGAACCAGATGATCTCATCTTTGCAAGCTTGCAAGAACCACGATGATCATCAAAACTTAGGGATCTTAACACCCTTCTCACATCTTTTTCATTCAAACTTAATGATTTGGAAAGGATAGATTCCATGTGATCATCAAGGTCCTTGAGATTTGCATATGGCCATGAAAAAGATAATCCCATTCGCATAACAAATCAACACCCTTTTCCTGTTGATAGAAGAAAACAATCAAATTTTAAGGCCACCCATTAAGAGAAACAAGAACCCATATGCAGAAACGCATGATTTCCACAACCTATTTCAAGTATTTAAGCAAGAATCCACTCTGAACCAAGAATGGCATATACATACATACACACAGATATATGTATATTTTGAATGAGATTACATAAAACAGAGAGATTATTACCTTCAATAAGATTAAAATCGAAAGAAGAGTAGGAAAAGATTCAACAAATATTCAAATGAAATGAGAATCTCGAGGTATAAAGAAGAGAGGAGTCCCTCTCTCTCTCACACACACACACAAGACTTGCAGTGTTTGTTGAATCTGTAAGGATTTGGGGCAATGTCTGAGGTGGGTTGAATGGGAAAAATTGAATATATAGAGATAGAAAACTGGTGGAGAGAAACAGAGTGGCTCGACCTACGTGGCACTGACTATGGTGACTACTGCGGAAGCTTCCGTTCAGAGACGACGATGGAAGAAAGAAAGAAGAAGAAATTGATTCCTATTAAATATTCCACTTTTACGCCTTGAATGTTCACCCACAACCCCACCGGCCTCATTATAAATGCATTTTATCTTTTTAAAGGAATTCAGGATTAAATATTTAAAACTAAAAAAAACCTTGAAAATACGATTAAAAGTGATAATAAATAGTAGCCTTGATTTACCATTTCTTGATCATTTTATGTGTGAAAACGTTTCCAGGTGGCCATTAAGTGAATTTGTTTTCGGTTAGGATAATAAACCCATAACTAGGGGTGCTCAAAAACCCGACTAACCCGATCAACCTAATTCAATTCAACTCGAAACAACTCGATGTCTAATCGAGTTGTAAAATTTTCAAACTGTAGATAGTGGGTTGATATTGGATTATTATTATGTGAACTAAACCTAATCCGATGGATCCGATATCCATTTATTTTTTGGATTTAATATGATTGTTGAATTTCTATTAATATATACACTAGACAATTACACTATCGCATACGTTATTTATATACACATCTTTTCAATCTATTCACATCTCTATGTAACTCATTCGTATATATGTTCAGTAACTGTAAACATATATACGTAAATTGAGAAAAATTAACTGAATGTGATATACGTAAGAAACATGGATAAGTTGTATTAAATGATTGATGATGAAAAAGAAATTATGAGTAGAGAAATAACATGTTCAAGGTTAGAAGAATATTTTAATGTACCAAAGTATCAACCTGACTAACCCGTACGGTTTGGGTTGGGTTGGGTTGCACTTTCGTTTGGATTAGGTTGAATTGGGTTAAGATTTTTCAAACCACAAGCATTGAGTTGTGTTGTTAAAATGTCTTCAACTCGATCAACTCAACCCATGAAAACCCTTGCCCGTAACCATCAACCATAAACCAGTTATATTTGTCATCTGTTTGTTTTAGTTTAAGTAATAAAAATGACAAAGAATAAAAATGAGAATGAATTTTCATCCTTCAGTTTAACTAAGAATGAAATTTTGGGCTTCTAGGAGAACAATCGATTATATTATAGAAAATCAAATAGTTTTTTCATTTTCATTGATTACTGCTTAATACCTCTAATCACACATTCCCTTAATAAAACTGTGAAACAGTTAATAAACTAAATAATCTACACTATGTTATAAAATATTTGACAAAAAACTCTTAAAAAACATTTTTTATGCATGAAGTACTGTTTATTTATATATATTACGTAAAATTCAAGATTACAAATAAATTGTACGTAAGTACAACGTATTAAAGCTTCATGTTTGAATTCATGTAACTAACTGCAGATAAACATAACCAAATACAAGATAAACATTTCATTTTAAATATAAAMAATCTAAAATATAATTAGGATAATCATTAAGTTCTAATAGAATATTTAATTATTATTCTTATAAAAATTATATTATTAAATAAAAATAAATTACATTCGTTATTAAATCTAAATTAAATTATAATAAAAAATTGAATTACATAAAACAAAAACTTTTAAATAGTTAATTTGATATTAATATTGATATATTTGTTTTTGAAATTTTATGTTATCTTCATAATTTATATTTTATAAAAAAATAAAAATATTATCTTTTTCTGAAAACCACATAAAAACCGTATTAAAACATCTACAGAGACTAAAACGAAACATTAAAATTGAAATATATCGCGCTGTATTGCATGAATACCCTTCCGGTAATATAAAATCAATGGTAAAAATTCTTTTTGTTATGTAACATATAAAGAGTAGAATTGGAAATAATAGATAAAAATATTATCGAAATATATTCTTACCAATTTTATTCATATACTAAAAAACACTAAATACAATATACTTTATTTTCATTCTTGACCCTTTTAATATTTCTGTTTTTGCCTTTAAACCTTTTTATTATTAATTTTGACCTTTTTAATATTTTTGTATCTATTACCTTTTATATTTTTGTTTTCGATTTGATATCTTATTTAAATTAATAATATATTATTATTAATCGATAATTTTATTAATCGAATTTTTTTGATAAAATAAAAATCATAAAGATTATCTTTGATTTGTTTTAACAATAAAAATACCCTAAATTTTTGGGCATTAAAAACACAAGTTTTCACTAAAATACTTAATTAAAATGTTTCAATATATCATAATATACCGAATATATTAAATCAATATATTTACGACTATGATGTAAAGATAAAATTGTATGCATTTATAATATTTAATAATATAATTAAATTTAAAAATATTCAATAATATGTTTGTTCTAAAAGTATGGACGAATGGGAGAGATCAAATGTGTTATTTATTTAAAAAAAGTTCAAGGACTTATCATTCAAAATGAGAAAGTTTAATGTGGTTTTGTGAACTTTTCTCTTCGTTAAATAACTATAAAGGTATAATATGTAAGTGTTAAAAATCATGCGTAAAATGTTTACGTATTTATGAAGATTAATAATATATTTAATTTCCAAAAATACTTAGTATTGAGTTTGTTTCGATGTTATCAATGAGACCATTCTAAATAAGCAATTTGTAAAAAGAAAAACGTATTTCTTGATGTATTTTAATTAATATTGATTATGTATGATAATATAACAAGAGTGTAAATGAAAAATGACAAACTAAAATATATATAACAAATTAAATAAATAACTGTACGAGTTTAAAGTGTATGTACTAACAATAATTTTGTAGTGTTTATTATATATAATAATATGTTTAAATCAAGAAATATTCAATATTCAACTCATTTTGAAGATTTTGATGAGACGATTATAATATGTAATTTGTTAAAAAAACGTATTTTTTTAACGTAGTTTAATTAATATACGATTATGTATTATAATATAATAAAAATATATAAGTAAGAATATAAAAATAATTAATTAATTATAGGGGTTTAAATTATAATTTTAAATTTAAAAACCATGACCAAATTGAATTGTTTGTGACGGAAGTAGAGGGGTAGGAAAGAGTATGAATGTATATAGAGAACCCCTATTGATCTTCAGGGACGTTCCAATCTTTTTGAAGGTTCTGTTACATTAAAAAACGTTTGATTATATTGTATAAATGAGATAACAGAGAATATATGTTAAGAACAAAAATAGACTAGACCTGAAACGATTAACAATCTGAAACTAAACTTAAACCATTAATGATTTGAACTTAAAACCAAACAACTAACGGTTTGAACCTAAATAACTTCGGCTATAGATTTACACAGGTCGATAAAAAACCCTAAACACATGTAAATTTGGGCCCCATAATTTCGGGAGGCCTGTTCAAAATCTCACATTTAACATGCTAAGGGACGACCATGTTGATCTCTCTTAATGTTAAAATTCAAAACTTGAATTCATGTCATGTCATTAAATTCCTCTTGATTTATTAAAACTAAAAGAATACTATCTCCAAAGGAACTGGAGTTCCATCATTAGGATAAGCGATATTGTTGAACCAGACAAAATAAAAAACAATATGACAGTACAGTTGTCATACATGTTCTTAAACTTTATTGAACATGTTTGTTAGTCCCGAAGGGCAAGGCAATAAGCAGAAAGTAATTGTAGAAGGGGGGGTTGAATACAATTACACAGATTTTTTTTCAACTTTTTAATTCTTATTGATTTATATCAAGAATTAATACACACAGAAAAACAAAAGATTGTTGCGGAAGATAGGAAA